TCTTAAGCCATCTGAACAGTGTGTTGGCTTTACGACACTTTAGAGGCTGCCTCCTTTGTCTCACCCTCCACTTTACGCTACTGAAGCCGTCATAAAAATGTCAGTGAGCTGTTTTTTTAAATCCTGTAAAAAACCTGTGTGTTCTGCAGCAGTGACTCACTCGGTTCATCTTTGTAAAAGACAAGCTGCTTTGAGTCCCAGCTGAGGCAGTGAAGAAAGAGTGATGACAGTTTGGGAAGTCAGGTTCTGAACAGCAACAGCTGCAATGCACTGAAACGTCGGGCAACAAACCCGGAAATTACACCCAATAGTAAAACAGTGAGAGTATAATAAAAATACATTTGCATCTTAGTGTTACAAAAACTGTCTTATGATGACGTTTGCAATTACTTACTTTTTGGTCTTGGTATATTCTATCTGTGGATCCTTAGAATAAAAATAAATTAAAAGCACTGTCTGATTTCTGTGAACTACTCTAATTTTACTCACTATTTGATATCTTTTAGAGAAAATGTGTCATTTTAACGTTTCCCCACATGTGATCGGAGCATCCAGAGATGCAGGAACTGCTTTGTTTCTGTCGTGTAGAAAATGTTCATGTCATGATCAGATGATCCTCACACAATGTAGCAGCGTAATCAGAGCCTCGGATTCGCTGACTGAAGTTCATGAACATCAGCTCACGTAGGTTTCCATGTTACTCTGGGTGTTTTTGTTTTTTTTCACTTCTTCTCCTGTCATTAAGAAACAATAAATAATTATTCGCCTGAGGTGTCATTACAGTAAAGTGTGAGTGATAAAATCCTGTTGCATTTAGAGCTTTCCTTCATCCTCCAAGATGCACAAGTCCAACTCAAATGTTTGTCTTGGATTATTAAATGATTTAAAATGGACCTTTGATATTTACATGTTTTAATTTCTTGACCAAAAAAAAAATATATATATATGATGTTTGGATTTTAATGAAGATAGCCCAAAGTGATGGAAAATATTGCTGTAACAAGGCATCTGCACCTGTAGCTGCATCCCTGAGAGATGTGATTGTTTTGTTTCTCACCTTTTATTTTGCTTTCATGATGTGAACTGGTGTATCTGAAATACAGGTGAATAATCTTCACACCCTGTATGACAAATGCTTTCATTGCGTGGAGTTTAGATGCATTATTTGCTCATCTAAAGAAGAAAGTTTGAAGGCAAATCATAACCTAATTGTTCAAAGGGTGCAGTAATGTAATTCAGTGATGGGATGTAATAACTGAGATTTAGGAAGAGGCCTGTCATTCAAATAGAACTTGATGATTTTGTAACTTCACCTCTCACTTCCCCCCTGCCTGAATTTTGGATCTTTTTTATTTGATATTGACAACTGTTAATTCCCTGCCAAATTTGACAACTGTTAATTCAGACGTGTTTGTTGGAGTCTGTGCGTCACCTGATGTGATTCATCGATCAGTTTATTCCCCCCACAATTTTCCGAAGCCGTTCTGCCTCATCGTAAAAAAAAAAAAAAAAAAAAAAAAAAAAATTGTCACAGATGAAACGTGGCAGCACAGAACCGACAGAGCACGTCGCACGTCGCCGCTCAGGTAAATTCTCCTTGAGAGAGACCGAGCGCGCGCGCACGCACGCACGCCAAAATCCCATCCGTGCCCAGTGCACGTGCCACATTTCTGGCGCCATAAACTCGCCGCGTGAGCTGTTTTGGGTCCCACGAGACGTTGTGGTCCTGCGGGGATGTCGAACTAGCATATGATCGCAGCGGGTGTTAAGAGCGTTATGATGAAGATGAAGGGGTCATGAAGAAACCTGACCGCTGTCACAAACTGCTTAGATCCTGGAAGCGCTGCGGTGCTTCCACTTTACCCTTTTATTTATTTATTTATTTATTTTATTTTGCCAAATTAATGCCCGCTGTTCGTCTCCAATTTAGGAGTGACGCAGCTGAAACGAGCAGACGCCGCATGTGCACCCGCCACTCCGAGCGCGCGCTGCCGACCGCCGCGCACGAGCACACGGGGATACCTTGAACGGATCGCACGTGATTTTCGAAACTACATGCCTCCCGTCATCAGGGCTGGGTTTTATTGCGCGGATGGTCGAGCGGGACGGCGCCGCGGCCGCTTGTTTCTGGCGATGTTTCGCCGCCGCTTTGAGTCCCTTGCCTTATAAGGAAAGACAGTCGTGCCTTTCTGCTATAGGCCGAGCGGCTGCAGCCTGCAGGGAGCCGTGTGCGTTTTAACCCGTTCAATGCTGAATTTAATTTGGTTTCGTCTGTATGAAACAATGCAAGGCAGCGCCGTTTGTCTTCATGCTCCAAGCCTACTTATATGGCGAACATCCCTTTTTTTTTTAGATGCACAACATAACAGGACAGCTCTATGAGAGTCAAAGTCACAGGTAGAAATCAGCTATGAGAGATAAGTGACTGACCTATGATTGTCCCAATTGTGTGTTTTAATGTAGCCTGTAAATAGAGGCGCGCGTTTTTATTGGAGACAATGATGACCTCTATCGACTTTTGCTGAAGCGGGAGCCTGACTTTAACCCCCGCCATCCGCGGCGCTTTGTCTTTGTGTGACCTTGACTCATGGAGGATATGGAAATGTGTTCATTGTGATGCGCATCTCCCGGGGCTGCGGCCGGACCCGGGATTTATGCCGCATTATCGCCGTGTTATCCACACCGGGGAGCTTCAGCTTGCAGCGCGTTTCTCTGTGTTTCTGGGATTAGACCCGAGAGCAGAGAAGGCCTCCAATCAATCAATGTCAAACACCCACCGTGGCCCTGACGGTGGCTGGGCCTGTCCTCCACACTCGTGTAGAGTGATCCCACGTTTGTCACTATAAAGTTTATATATATATATATATATATATATATATATATATATATATATAATATATATATATATATATATATATATATATATATATATATATATATATATATATATATGTTGTTGTTGTTTTTTTTTTGTTTTTTTTTTTTTTGTTTTGTTTTTTTCAGATAGGAAAAGGACCTCGAATCACTATAAACGAGTTGGGATTCAAAAATTACAAATATCTCAGACGGATCCAATCTTTTTGATGTGACCTAACTCAGAGTAACCAATAAAATAAAGAGGCCTAAATAAAGGTGAACGTAAGAATAATGCAGTCACCGTTCATAGCACTGCTCCACATCCAGCCACTGAGCAAGGACAGATGCTGCCTTCAGGGTCTGTTCTTAGGTCGTATTTTATCAGACTTGTGCACGTTGGATCCAACAGTCGCTTCTACAAACAGGAGCTGTGAAAGAATAAAGGCTTGCAGCCTCAGAACCCTGAGGACTTTTAGTCTGTCACTGTTGTGTTTGATGGGCACAAGACAATTACTAATAGTGATTTTCAGATGAAAGTATTTAAGAAGTTAATATTTCACTTGGATAGAAAACTCAGCCAGGTTCGCTGGTCCTGGAGGACAAAGCTACTGTCTAATCTAAAACGAGCTAAGACCAAAAGCCTTCAAATTAATGTGATGACTATTTTATAAACCTTTAAACTGCTGTCACATTCACACAAACGCTTGTCGTTGTGTATAGAAGTAATTGAGGCTTCGCACCTTTAATCGTCTTCCTGCGTGAAGGAAGATAATTCAATTTGATATTTGGTACTGAGAACCAAATATGTAAAGTATTTCCAGGGGAAGAGAAGGGAATGAAACAGAGTACACATAAACCTCCAGCATTCTTGCTTTTTGCACAGCTTTTCATTTGAATCGGACCATTACTCTGTCAGTGTTGGTAGCAATGTTGCCTGAGCAGGTGATGAGTTCAAATCCAGCCAGAGTCTTTTTCCCGTGGAGTGTGCATGTTCTCCCTGCTTCTACACTGGTTCTAGTCCAAAAACACCAATTAGGTTTACCGGTGTCTCTAAATCGCCCTGTTGTCTGTGTATGTCTGTGTGTCTCTCCCAATAGCTGCTGGGAATAAGTAGCAGACTCCCACCAATAGTCTGGTAAAAAATAATAGGATCTAAAATAGGATGGACCACCTTCTACTGATTCCCATAGAATCAGTAGAAGACTGATTCTATGGGAATCAAAGTAGACCTTTGATTCCCATAGAAAAATCCTCTTCCATGTAAATAACCATTTCATTCAATCATGACAAGAATTTAAAGGTTAATAAAATCAAATCATTATTTATTATTTTCTGAGGTTCTTTTTTATTTTTTCCAAAAGTTGGCTTTGATGTTAAATTGCAGATAGCTTACCAATGGCTGTCTGGTTTGGTTGGGTTAAATAAACCTGTGTCATTATTACATCAGAAATAAAGCAAGTGCTTTAAGTTTACACCCTGAAGATTTGTTTTAAACTCTTATTTATAGTAGAAAATGTAACAGCAGCTGAAACACTGAATAATCTTCTACTACATTATTTCAATGGTTTACTAGTCAGCATGTGCAGTGGAACAAAAACAATAGATATGAGAGACAACATGCAAAACATTTGCAGAACCAGAGTACAGCAACTGGCTACCAATAGCTGGTAGCATTAGCTCTTCATGTCCTGTGCTATTTGTCATTGACTTTACAGGGCAGAGCTTCTATCTATCTATCTATCTATCTATCTATCTATCTATCTATCTATCTATCTATCTATCTATCTATCTATCTATCTATCTATCTATCTATCTAATGAGCTAGCTGACCAGCTATCTAGTTAGCTAGCTGACTAGCTAACAATTATTTCATTTTTTTGCTCTCCAGCCGATATTTTATGACCTTGAACTGATTTCCATATTCTGAAAGTTAATTTTGACTTGAAAAACGTAAAAACAAAACAAAAAACAGCAAAAACAGAAATTAATGTCTCATAGCCTAAACCTTTTCTCTCGCCAGATGTCTGAATTCGTTGTTTCTCTATTTTCCCACAGCCCTCGAAAGCAGCAAAGCGATCAAACCCCGCCCAGTCACCGCCCCCGTGGCGAAACGTCACATCCACGGCTATTTGCATGAAGTGTTTTCGTGCTGCAGCTCCAACTCGCCTGCAGAGCGAGTCTCCGAGGGCTGAAAGCGAGGGAAGAGACGCAGCGAAAGCAGGAGGAGGCGGAGGAGGAGGGGGATCCTTCACATTATAGAAGAAGCAGGAGTGGGTAAAAAAGGAAATAATAAAGCAAAACCTGACAGAATAGATCAGGTGTCGGCGCTGAGAGAAACTGGAGAGCGACTCTCTTGCGCTGGAAAATGGAGCTACCCGCCGCTGGAGAGCACGTATTTGCGGTGGAGAGCATCGAGAAGAAGCGCAGCAGAAAGGTTCGCTTTTTACGCACATGCGTAAATGGGACTGACTGGTCTCCTCTTTTTTGCTGTTATTGACTGCATGTTTATTTCGCCTTATATATATATATATATATATATATATATATATATATATATATATATATATATTATATATATATATATATATATATATATATATATAGTAACCTTTTCCCGTTTGCGCTCTCTCTCTGTCTCTCTCTCTCTCTGCCACAGGGGAGGGTCGAGTATTTGGTCAAGTGGAGAGGATGGTCTCCAAGGTGAGTCCGCCACTGAACGGAAACAACATCACGACCACATCAACAACAAAAAAATAAAATAAAATAAAATAAAATAAATGAAGAGCAGGCAAGAGAATAGAAGAATTTTTGCGAGCGTGGGCGCGCAGATGGGCGGTTTGCGCGTGCTTGCTTCTGGGCGCCTGACTCGTTGGCCCCGACGATGGATGTGGTTTTACGATCTGTGCAATCCCCCGTATGCCAATTAGACAACGACGCGTCTGTAATTGGGGGCGATGTTGAAGAACCGCCCATCGATGTGGATTTGCGATCTGTATCCAAGCGCGTAAAAGTTGCTCCTGATTTATAACACTTGTATCCACCGAGGAAGGGACGAGTGTCTCAGCGTGTTAACTCATGTACAGACCTGCTATAAGAGGGATATGAGGGCTCATAAATTATATGCTGAATTAGTGACGACCAGTGCCTGTCTGAGTCAGCCTTTTCAGACCAGTTTGTCCCAACTGCTTTATCTCCTCCTCCTCCTCCTTTCTGTGCAGATACAACACATGGGAACCAGAGGAAAACATCCTGGATCCAAGGCTGCTTGATGCTTTCCAAGACAGGTGAGTTCAGAATTGGAGAAACCAGCTTCACAAGTAATGGTACCAGCAAGTAAAAAAAAAAAAAAAATCTGGTTTATAAGTGCTCGGTTTCCCATATTTCCTGTTCCAGTCGGAACACTTGACCTTTACCGCCATCCATTGGAACGCCCTGTGTGCTTGGTGAAAGCTTGGATTCCTGGATGATCCCTTGTTGATCTAGCCACATAGCTTGTCATTCAGAGATGCTGAAAGTTCAGAAACTGGATTTATCATTGTGTTTAGTTTAGGATTTATCATGGTGTCAGGTTACTTGGACAAACGAAGCCACTTTGTTAAGCAGCTACACTTTCTGGCACCTGGTTGTTAGCTGAGAGTCAGAGTCAGGTCATCGTACATTGGTGGTCTTTTAACCCTCACATGTTTCTTCTTCAGGACATGCCAGAGGTGAACCACAACAGGGGTCACGTTGAGGCCATTAGTTGTAGATTTATTCTGGGCGGTACCAGAAATAACCCATTAGGGCTTTTCAGTTCTAGATATTCCTTAAGCATGGTCCTTACATTTCTAAATTTTAAGAACTATGGCGCAGAAAACAATGCATGGAAAATTCTTTGAGAGAGGTTTGAAGTCAATGGAAAATTACAAGAGAGTTCTATTACTACTTCAAAATATATGTCTCAGTTCTGCTGGTTGATGTCGGTAATCCTGTTTATCAGTCAGGCTATCTGCTCTGCTGAGCCTGCAATCAGCTTTCCTATAAGCAAGTGAAAAGTGGTATGATGGTGAGAGCTGGCTCCATCTTCCAGACAGCCAGGTCGAACTCCAGACATGCTACCTGGCACTTCCTCAAAAAAAAAAAAAAAAAAAAAAACTTTAAACCATAGGAACAGTATGATGAACTTTGATTTAGGTAAATGCTTAGATCTGGTTTATGTTTTAGTTTTTACACTGCTTTAGAGGCAGATAACAAACCCTGGTTAGTCTACATTCTGATAAATTAATCTGGAAAAAAAAGACCAGAAAGACACGAGGATCCAAAACAGAAACTCAAACTGCAATGTGAGAAACCAGAGCAAAGAATCCACTTGCAAGAGCTGGTCAAAAACTTTAACAGTTTCATTTTGGACAAGCTGTAAATCCTGGGAATTCTCACTGAGGCAAAAATAAATCTGTAGCTCAGCTAAAAAGCAAGATTTTACATTTTAATAAATTTGTAGAACTGATCATTCGGAGATATGCCAAGGTTTAAAAGTAGCGAATAGTTGAATGTCATCAGTATAGCATGACAGGATGTGCAGCTTGAGACCGAGTCTAAACAAATCAGATGTACATAGAGCATGGAAACACTTCCTAAGGATCATGAGACACTCATCAAGATTCAGATTCAGTCCATTCAAAGTTCCAAACTCACATGCCTCTGTTGCAAAAGAAAAGCAAAACTCATGACCATACAAGACAACATAATATGTTTGTAATTATAGTATTACAACTAAATTAAAAGTGTTAAAAAACCCTCTAAACTTCGTTTTATACTGGCGACTTTCTAATCATACCCTGAGTGTGTGGTCTTTCCGCTGCAGGACTTTGTAATTGAATTTCTCGACTGTGCGCCGCATTAAACTGTCACTGGCTTTTCTCTCAGCCTCAGCAACCTTTAAGGTACAGGTCACACATTGCAGAGCAAACTCCACCTCTGTTTTTGCAATTATCACCAGCCCTCTGTTACAAAGCGGAGGAGGGGGGTTTTATTGAAACTAATTATGCATCCCTCCAGGGAGCTAAATCGCCTGAACGCCAGGCTATGAAAATACAGCGAGTCGTCATTGTAATTAGAGGTGATTGGGGGGAAAGCAGGGGAGGACTCTGACATCACTCCTGTCTACCGTGTTCAGTTACTGCTTTTGGAGAGGCTCCCATTGAGCTGGAGGAAACCTAAGGAAACTCTAACAGGGGGGGCGTTTCGTTCACCTTTGAGTAGGATTTGCATGACTGAGCCGATATTTAAGATCAACCTTCATTTCAAAGTAATGATGAGAACAAGCCTCCGGAGAGATAACCATTTGATTCTCTGCAAAGAAAGTGAGGATGGGTGAGGAGGATTTACATAGCAAGTGTCAGTCCAAGTTATAGCAGGAAATACTAGGAAATACTCAGTTTCCTGGCTGAGCCTGAGGAGGACACCCGTGACGCTTTGTTGCCATGCAACAGTGACTGACTGCCTGCCGGTCTCCACTCCCACAGGGAACGTCAGGAGCAGCTGATGGGATACCGCAAGAGAGGACCCAAGCCAAAGCACCTTCTGGTTCAGGTGAGACAAATCTGAACTGCAGCGCATTCGATTGGGGTTTTACTTGGTAAACCAACTGCAAAACTATTAAGTTGAAGGGAAAGCATAAATAAGCGCTTTTAAGATATTTTACAAAAAAAAATTCAGTCACTTTAGATCCGCTTTCCCTGAACAGAATAGAGCGAACTAACACCTTTCAGATTTTCAGAAACCTAGTTACTAACTTAAGTCTGAGCATTTGTTGGTTGAACTCAAGTTAAATCGATCTGTTCTGCGAATGCCTCTGAGGTTTGTTAGAGAAATTCGATGAAACAAATTGGCTCATAAATGGCAAGGAAACAGCAGAATGGGCAGGGACAAATCACTGGTGAAGTTTAAATGAGGGTTTGGTTTATCTAATATTCAACACCTGTTCAATCCATCTTTTGAAAATGAGAGTATGGCACAGCAGCAAACCTTCCAAGACATTAACAAAGATCAAAACTGACAACTCTGGAAGATAATCCACAGCTTAGGTGGGACAATCTGCTTACAGCACACATCTTAGTTGTGAAATCCACAAATCTGTCCCTCTGGAAGAGTGGCAAGACAACAAAGATAATCCAAAAGGCAGCAGTCTTACTGAAAGACAGTTTAAGAAAATGTTGACTTAGCCTAGCTGAATATAAATACATGCCTAACTTCTCAAGTTTTTATTTTGTTAATGAACACCATTCAGGCTTTCCTTTCCTTACTCTTCAAAATGATGCACCACTTTGTGTTGGTCTGTCACACAACAGCCAAAGAAAATACCTGGAATCTTTTTGGCTTTGGAGCGAAAAAAAATGCAAAGGGACGTAAATACTTTTTGTAGTGAGAAGCACAAGCAAAGTTACCAACAGCAACTTTGTTTAAAACATTGTTTAAACGGCGTTTGAACAATGTTTTTGTTTTTTTGTTTATTAACTCCCCAGATTACCAAATGTATACATGCTACTAAATGGGCCAAATCATTTGTTTAATGTATCAATCAAGACTTCAGAAAGGCCAAAGGATCCCCTCAGAGGCGTGTCTTTATTCCTCTCAGGAGGGTGTTTTGGTAACACATGACATAAAGTCAGCGAGGATACGCAAAGCTGCAAGGGACATTCCTCCAAGCTGAGGTCACAGCCACAGGAGACACTTTGAAATGTCACTCTGATCTCCAGCCGGTGGCTCAGAGAGCTACACTGGACCAGCAGGGAGCCCGTATGATGATGGGCTCAAGGCCCCTGAAATAAACCATCCACTCATTTGGGCCTCACTAGAAACCTGCCACACATTCCTATCTCAGCATCTCTGTAGCAGCACCACCAAAGCAATGGCTTTGCTGTTGCATCTCTCTCTCTCAAATAAAAAAAAAAATCCCATTCGAATCATCCATCCTATTATTGTGCCGTTGGAGTAATTGATGTATTGTTTTGCAGGTGCCATCGTTTGCCAGGAGGTCCAACATCCTGGCGAACCTTCAGGAGGCTTCCTTGGAAGGCAACAGCTGTCAGAAGTCCGGCTCTATCCAGATGATATGCCCCCAGGCCCAGCAGTTCCAGCTGAACAGCAAGAAACTTCACCAGTACCAGCCCCTGATCAGGGAGTGTGATGCCGAGCAGCAGTCCAACGGCAAGAAATTCTTCTACGAGCTCAACAGCAAGAAGCACCACCACTATCAACCGGACCTGAAGCAACATGAACCTGTTTTTGCTAAGCCAAGGGACGTCAAAGCTCCCGAGCTGTCGAACAAAGGATACAACCTCCCAGCGGTGCTGCAGCAAAAGTGGGTCCGGGACAAAGACTCAGGCTGCCTGACTAAAGTAAAAGACATCACTATGGAGCTAAAGAAAATTCCAGCCGACCTTAAAGGACAGAAGGAGCCGGAGAGAGCGAAACCGAAAGAGGATGCCTCAACACACTCCAACAGTGTCAGCAGCAGTAAGCTAAAGATTGTTAAGAACAAGAACAAAAACGGGCGGATTGTCATTGTCATGAGCAAGTACATGGAAAACGGCATGCAGACTGCTAAAATCAAAAGCAGTGATTGTGAAGGCGCTGAAAGGTCACTGCAAGGAGCAGAGAGCAGCGTGGAGAGGCACCTGGCAAAGATGAAGCTCGTCAAAAAGCTTGGCCTCATAAACGGTTTCTCGAAGCAACCCAAAGACAACCCAACTGTTCCTAGTTCTGGGATAAAAGCAGATTGTTGCAAAGAGAAAGAACTGTCCGCTCAAACAGAGCAGACTGTAATGGAACAGGACAAAGGTGCCGAGGGGCAGTTTCCACAGGATAAGCCATTACAGCTGACAAATAAGCCTGACGAACTGCCCCTGCCCTCAGAGAGGGAGGTTCCAGACAAAAGAGAAATCCAGAACGGCCATCACGGACTAAAGCGACACCTTTCCGACACAGACGCTGAAGAACAAGGACTGGCTAAGAGGTTTCTAAGTTGCAGGAGCGTCAGCGTTCCCCACACAGATTCCTCGCCTTCCCAGAGTCTCGTTGTTGACAGAAATGAACAACAGAGTCCTGCTTTACTGCACGACTATGGCTACGCAGACCAAGAGGAACCCATGGACCTCAGCATAGTCAAATCGAGGCCCACGTCTTCAGTCTGTGTGGGGACTGAGCCGGAGACGCGAGCTGAGGAGCCAGCACATCCACCAGATGACAGTCGAACACAGACAGACACACAAACAGAGAGCCAGACTGAAACACACAGTCCGTCAGAGGAGGAGAGCGCTGACATTGTGTCTGACTCCAACCACCAAGCAAAAAAAGACGAGGCGTTTCCTTCTTTCCAGCCATGCCTTGGGAATATAGTCATCACAGACATTACTGCCAACTGCCTCACCGTTACCTTTAAGGAATACGTAACGGCATAACACAGATGGACACCACCTGAGGGACTGACATATGATATATTTGTATTTTCTGATTCCTGAATGTACAAATGAAGCGTTGATGTTGTTTTCATTTTGTAAAACTCAGATCTAAACACAAGGGTAAAAAGACAAAGACTCTCAGTTCTCTTCTTGCATATTTTCGAAGTATAAACCCAACCTGTTGGTATTTCAAATTTCCAACCTAATCCAAGCTGCAAAATTTTATGAAATAATTGATGAAACTCTTGCCTGACATGCACTTACTTTTGTAGACAGTCTTCGTTTTTCTATGGATGTGAAATGATTTGTACTCTCTACCTGTCTACTTTCAGATTACAGATAAATGTAGGCTTTAAAGGGAGTTTTTGTAAGGAAGAAAATTATATTAAATCAAGGTACATTACACTGTGTCAGAGTGCGTGCGTGCGTGCGTGAGTGTGAGGTGGACTGTTTTTAAAAAGGATGCGTGCTGCTTGGATGTCGATGATGCCATTAGGCATGCTTAGACAGGCAGATACAGAAAAATGAAGCACCTTCACTGTCAATTTGTGTCATAGAAACAGAAGACCATCTGTGGTCACCGTTTGATCTGTTTGAAAGACTTCTCTTTATTCACAACCCCTGGGAACTTAAACTGAGCACAAGTCACTCCCATTAAGCTTGCGGTGTCTGTTTAACCCACTGACAGCATCTTGTTTTAGTGGAACATCAGGCATAACCAACTTTGGAGAAAACAGCAGCCATTTTAAGTGTGTCACAAGCCCATTTCAGACAACATTTTGTCCTTCTGGCTGCATGGGATCTGAGGTGCTTTGAGAGAACGTGAGCACTTATATGTGCAGACTAAGAACAGGAGGTTTCCTATGATACTAATTGCAATAAAAATGTTTTGCAAGAGAATCTGTAAGTGGTCATTTTTCCGTAACGCTTGGCTTTGTGACTGAATGCTTGAACTAATGTGACCTCAAACCATGATGTGGTTTAGAGGCCAAATTTATACCTGGCTGATTGGCGTATGAGTGTTTCTTTGAAAAGAGTATCATCAATCCGATCAGGTTTTGCAGGACCGGTCTGTACTACGGTGCACAGGTCTAACTTAGTAGATTTGACTATAACTGAAAAGTTAATTATTTGAATAAATCATTCCAAATGTGAAGCTAGCATATCCTTTCATCCCACACATACCAACACGTTTCAGGTTTTTTTTTTTTTTCTGTTGATTTTAAATCGAGGCTCAAAGATAAAGAAAACTCAAAACTGAATTTTTCAATCGAAGTATTGCAAAAAAGTAAATAGTTTTTTGGGGGGGGGGTTTTAACAGATGTCAGCTTGCTGTAAAGTATTTCCATATACTGCAGAGTTGATGCTTTCGCTGGTCTGGGCTGTCTGTGCTTGAATTACTGGATCAGTTCGACATGGCAGTAATCATGCTGAGGCGTTGTGGAGCACCAGGTCGCAGCCTTCAGTTTGTCTGCATTGCTGCACCTGGTGTCTCTCGCCGTTTCCTCTGTAGTGCGACATAAATTCTCCACATGGGTCAACAGCTGTGGATGTGTGGAAACCACTTCTCTGGCATTCAGCATCTCTACAAAGCCTGTCGAATCGGTCTAAGAAAGTTGGCCAACACCAACAGACGACATGGCTCCTCAAATCATCGCTGACTGTGGAAACGTATCACTGGACCTCAAGCCAGTCGATGTCCAATCTCCCTCCAGACTCTTGGAACAACCAGTTCCTTGCCCTCCTTGTGGAAAATGTCAACAAGGAGACAGCAGTTAAGTCGGCAATCTATGATTGTGCAGACTGTAAAACTGTCATCACATTTCCCTAATTGTATTGTTTGTTTTGTTTTTTAATGATTGGTCTAAATTTATGTATTTATTTTTCTTCTTTTTATGAGAAACTGGATTCAATTTTCAAGAGCAGTAGGTCATTAAAATTCAAACACAATAAATATCACTCCTTGTGCAGGTTGTTGAATTTGACCCTTTTTTTTTTAAATAATATTGACTCAACTTGAGATCCACCTGTGCATGTCAGCAAACACTGTGACGAGAGCTGATGAGTCAGTAACCCCTGACGCAAAGCTGGACGTTGACCCGAGCAGCTCTTCCAGACACGCGTTTTGTCGACATCTGCATGCAGGAGGGTGACCGACGTGTTCTGCGTGGGTCTGTCATATATACAAAGCAGCATCTCAGCTTCACTGTCTGCCAATCGATTAGTGTATGGATTGCGTCAGACAGCAGTTGCTCATTGAGCATAAGATGCGCAGCGCACTTGGGCGCTCTTCTGCGCGAATCTTGTCCAAAAAAAAAAAAAAAAAAGCAGAGGAAGAAATCCCCCATCTGGATCGCCAGACACTTATAAGCAACTGGTGACTGATGTGCCTCAATGTACCAAAGCAGTTTGTCGGGACAATCGGTGTGATCTGTGTGCAGCGGCAGTTCGACCATTTCCCTTCGCTGCCGGTGAAACTGCTCTCCGTGCGCATTAATGTGAGCAACGACAGAGAAAATGGCTGTCCTCGCTCTCCCTCCTCTGTGCACTTTCTATTCAAGAAAAAAAAAACGCCTCTCAGTTTATGGACCCGCAACAGAATCCCGGCGCAGTTCAGCAGCTGCAGGTTTTGCGCAATGTGCAGTTTGTGACGGCATAAATAAAGACGTTTGTGTCATGTGATGATTACAGACAGAAACCGAGTTGTCACATCTCGACGCTCCTTCGTGCCAACTGAGGCTGAATTTGCGCATGCATGACTGAGGGAGGCCCGCCGACGGTCGCGTATTCAGAACCGAACCTGCCAAAAACAAAACAAAACAAAACAAAACAAAAACGTATTCTTAAAGGCTTGAAAATGAACTAGGAAGTTTTTCTCGAACATGTTTTTTCTCCTTCTTTGCGCCGTGTTGAGAATGCAAACACGGCGCAAAGTAAATGCGTAGCCGGCCCGAGGAACATGCGAACTAGGCTGCTGTTAAGTTTTACCCAGCTCAGGTCACAAAGAGGCAACAGATAGTGCCTAGCCTCACATGCAGAACACAGATCTGTTCTGGATCTGAATCCCTGGAAATGTATCATTGTTACTTTGAAGTCCTTCCAAATGTAACAGCTGAATGTGTTTTGGATTTGTGGAATCAAAGGAAAACACTGACACTCTGACACACATGTTAACAGTCACAATTTAAGGTTGTTGGGTGAATAGTCGTCGTTGCTGCTCTGGTGTTTGTCGTTAGCAATGCCACCACAACCTCATCAACAAATACGTTTATTCTCTCTTTCTCTGCTCTATTGAGGCTATCCCAAAAAAGACTGACTGACTGCCAACCAAAGAGGTTGATCAGATAAAACCTTCTTCCCAAAGTGCTGTTTTATTCAATAAATAATGTCGACCGGAATTGGGGCCCCAAATGAAATCCTGATTAGGGCCCTAGATAAATCTGAGTCGGCTCTGCTTGCTTCTCCTCTGCTCTGACTCCTCTTTAGTCGGCCCTGTTGTTTCGCCGACCTGGCAGCCTGCATGCGGTGGAAGTTTTCCGCTTTCTTGGCAGCCGAGGCGCAAAACACTTAAATTTACATCCTATTGTGTGGTGTAATGAAACCATGGTGCCGACCGGGGTTTGTTTTGGTCGTTTGTTTGTCTTGTTTTAGACCATCGTAAAATTAGAACTGGATTTCTCTCAAGGAATAAAATAAAATAAAAATAAATAAAAAAAGAAACAATGTCAGTGGTACTTCGTGGCGCCACGGGTTTCGTCGGAACAATAATGTAGCTAATTGTTAAGCTGCGTGTGCTTATTTCACTGGCCATATTTTCTGTAGCTATTATTGCCCGTGGGGTTTGTGAGCGCAGTTTATTTTTTCTCCCCTCAGTCTGTGCGCACCGGCAGCCCGCGCGTCTTTGCCCAGATACAAGCCAGCCAATGGCGTTTGGACGCGGCAGCGGTGCTGCACTGCAGGCACGCCGAAACCAATCGCAGCCGCTGTCTGAGCTGCGCCCATCTTCCTCCTTCTGCCTGACATTTTGTTCGTTCAGCTTGCGCGCAACATTTTCTTGTGGAAAGTCGAGATAATTCATTAAAACGTCATTTCGGTGACGCACTGAAAGCCGGTCGCTCCGACGCACCTGGTTTTCGTGCGTCCGTGACGCAAATTATGTTTGGGAAAAATGTTTTGTTGAAAATGGTTTTCTCCCAGGTTTTATCATTAGGCTATTCATTTTTTAAACATATTTTTCGTGATTAGTTTTGAAGGGATAAATGCTCGTTGGATTTGAGGCACGGATTTGTAACCCAACCTGCAGAGAATGCAGCCGAGCAGAACATCGTGACGCATTTTGGTTCGTCTGCTCCTGGTTAACAGCAGATTTTTATATTAATATTTTAGGCTGTAAAGAGGTTTAGATGAACTGGACGCTCTAAAGCCTCAATCCATCAAATTGGCCACATTTCCCGTTGACGCGATTTGTAATAAACTCAGAAATCATATTGCGGAAACAATAATCCAAAAGGCTTCCATTCAATGAAACGCCACAGCCGCAGTAAAGAAAACGATTTGCGACAGATAACGTTCGGAATTTTAATATGTCGATTTGGAGTTATTAGCGATATTAGTGGGCAGTGAAGGGAGTTCAGCATCACCGATAGTCATTTAAGAACATCTATCAATAGTGAACGTTTTTAGACGCCTAGATAATAGCTGTGGTAACTGGAATTCAATTGTATTTGTTTTGCCTAAAGTGAGAAGCTCATTATTTTTTGTGTCCATATTTGACTGAGCAGATGCACGATAATTAAAAAAAAAAAGAAAAACATAAGCTTCAGTTTGTTTTAGTCTGCAAACATCATCTGGTAGAGAAGGAATGAAAAAAAATTTTTTTTAAAGAAATTTGATCACACACATCAGGGCCTTCTTTTGGATCCGGCGCTAAGACTGAATGTAGATCGTTTATTCCTCAAGAGAAGACCCACAGCTGTTCGGGTTTTTTTTTTTTTTTTTTTTTTTGGTGGAAATCAAAGACATCGTGGCCCATTTATTGCGAACTCAGTTCGGTTGCTCGTTCGCAGCGCGAGGCCCTTGCGGAACCATCACGCGGGAATTCCTCCACGCGAGCTTTCTGTGCAGATGAAAGGCGGAGACGTGCAGATGTCTGAAGCGTGTCTGTTTTCACGCGTCGTCCGTTTACGTTCGATCGAGTCACGCCGCAGCGGATCACGTCCACGGTCACTGCGCAATGATGTGGAGTTAAAGGCAGAACAAAAGAGACAGAACAGAAAAGAAACACACTGCAATAAGTTGTTATTATTATTATTATTATTATTATTATTATTATTATTATTATTATTATTATTATTATTATTATTATTATTATTATTATTATTATGTATCTATGCCTATTGATGGTAGCTAATTGAGGAAAAGGAATTCAGTTTTATTGCTCTGATCCAATTTTGATTTTAAAAAGTCTCCTCTCACGTTTATTCACCAGAAAATAAAACAAAAACAATATCTAAATGAAAATGCCAAACAAGGAGAAGGGAAAAGGCCTATTTTCTATTCCCGGTCAGAAAGAGAAATAGTTCGTCGGCAGCCAAATGTGAGCGCAGTTCATGTCTAATTCCGTGGTGCAGAATGACACGGGAAACTGAAACAACCGTTGCCACATTTTGTCAAGCATCATTTGAAGTTGTTATGTCCGCATAGGACAAACGATCGACCGAAAACATTTCATTCTCATTTTAGAATCAACCTGTAGCTTCTTGTCTCATTTTTATTTTAAATGACTGAAATCGTTTATTTTTAAATGTGTGTTATTCAGTACAATTTTCTTTGTTTAATTTTTCTATTTTCTTTCTTTCTTTATTTTATTTTTTTAAGCAAAAATGCCAAATAGTATCACTTGTGGAATGTAGACCGAAGCTTTCATGCCCTAACTGACTCCTGACTAATGACAGATGTTTACGTGTAAAATGCTGTGTACACAGTAAATGCAAAAAATTAATGACAATAATAAAGATGCAAATGTTTTGCAAACATAGGCTATTTCCATGGTTACTGCGGTTAAGTGATAGCCTACCGATAATTTTCTAAAGTAAATAAATGAGTGGGTTCCTATTGTCAAAATGTCTAACATTTTTATTAAACACATAGCAGACACTTATTCAGTTTCCGCCTGTTTTTTTTTTTTTTGCTTGTTTTGTTGTAGTTTTTTGTTTTTGTTTGCTTTTTTTTGTGTGTGTTTTTTTTTGTTTGTTTGTTTTTTGCAATACCATCACGTTCATGGTTATTGACTTTTCCCCCATTATTTTTCTTTTTATTAATTTTTTTTCTTTATTTATTTGTATTGTTTGCGTTACATAAGTTTAGTGAGACAATTCACTCGCTGCGAGGATAAAAAAAAATAAATAAAAAATAAATAGGCCACCATTTTACTCCAGAAAAAAAACAACAACACCCCGGCTCCTCCTCCGCTTAGAAACCATATTCACGTAGCAACGGCTGAGCCAATGGCCATCCAGCTCGTGGTTCCTCAGACGGCGGTTCCTTAGCAACGGTACAAAAAAAATGCGCTGACGTCCATTCTGTTCGGTACTATTATGGTCTGTCGGGAATTCTGGAGGAGGGAGGGCAGTGAAGTGCAGCGAGAGGAGGGGGTACTAGCGCCCATCAGGCTAACGGTAGGTAGCACTGGAGTAAACATGGAGCTGTCCGCCGTCGGGGAGAGGGTCTTCGCGGCCGAGTCGATCATCAAGCGGAGGATCAGGAAGGTAGGAGGGAGGTATATCTGCTCTGCTCTCCTCTAATGGAGAGCCGAACACGGCGGTAACATCAGCGTAGTGTAATACTGCGGTTGCCTCTGCAAGCTAACCGAGTCCTGCTCTGTTTCTGATGGCACGCAGGGTCGGATTGAGTACCTGGTGAAATGGAAAGGATGGTCGCCCAAGTAAGTACCGCCACACCGCCTCTTATACATGTCTTCTAGCCGCCGCGGAGCTGTCTGCGCACTGACCGTGGTTAGCTTGCCGAGGCTAGCGGGATTAAAATCAACTCCGTGGGTTTTAGCTGCGGGGCTAACGAGTCCGCTCACAGAGCTGTCAGTCTGATTTAACGCTCCGCTCCGCAGATACAGCACTTGGGAGCCGGAGGAGAACATTCTGGACTCCCGTTTGTTTGCCGCTTTCGAACAGAGGTAATATGATATGACAGCGTCTGTTAGCATATCTGGATCCAACCAGTGAGCACAATATCTGCAGACGCTGTGCTCCGTGCACTTTGCTCCCATGACGCTTCATTGTGGATGTCTGCTGGTGTTTTCTCTCCGCAGAGAGCGTGAGCGAGAGCTGTATGGGCCCAAGAAGAGGGGACCGAAACCAAAGACGTTTCTGCTTAAGGTGACTTCATAACGGCGTTTTTGCCCTTACCAGTTTTTCAGCATAAATATAAGTAATCATAACTCGCATAAATAAGAGGAATTTCTTTTGGAGGTTCACCACCACAGGCACCTTTGACCTCAATTAAAAAAATTTCAGCCTTGGTTATTTCTACATGCAGCACAGACTGGTTTACAACTAGAGAACCAATAACTGTTTAATTTTATTAAGTCAGTTGAAGCTGGGATGAAGTCCTCATTTGATATACCTTCTTTCTTAATTTCTGTTGTAATTCTATCAGTCTTTCCTGAGCTCAATGTGCTTAGCACAAGGTTAAAATGTTCCCACTGGATTTCCCTTCATTTCTTTCGTAATCTACAAATACAAAATTAATTCAAGCTATTCTTGGGGTCAGTTTATTTTCTCTTAATCTTAAGAAGAATTTTTTAAAACTATTTCTTGAAGATGAAATGTAATAATTGTTCACATTAGATTAACTCTACGATGGTTGTGTTTTTTTGTTTTTGTTTTTTTTTAAAATCCTTTTAATTACTTTTTTTTAAGAGGAAAGTCTAACTGTTGCTATATTCTTGCTATAAACCACCTTAAAAAGCTGTTAGTTTTTTTGCATTACTTATCAGTAATTCAGTTAAAGTGCACCTTAAATGTTTCTTGTCTGTCAATGATGTGAGAGCTGAAATCATACTTTGTGAAACTTGTCAAAATGTAGCAGCTTGCTGTCATGGCAACTGAAGAAAAACAAAAAAGCTTAATTAATCATTTGTAAGGAAAGCTTTTGTTGCACTTGCTTTAATTTAATCCGTGATTTAATCGAAACAGAAAATATGTTTGTCTCAGAGTTGACGATGTTGTGTCTTGTAATATTATAGTGGTGCAAAATAGAAAAGATACCCTGACATTTGAAGATTTCCTTGATAAAACACCAACATTATTGTCATGTCGTTTAGTAAAAAATAAAATAAAAGATTTTCTATTTGCGTAACTTAAAAATGCTTCAATATTTTCTTCTAGGCGCAGGCTACGGGTAAAACCAAGTCGTACGAGTTCAGGAGCGATGCCGTCCGAGGGATGCACATTACGTACCCAACCCCAGAGCCGGTCTTCACCCCCAGGGCCAGAGAAGGCCTGAGGGCTGTCGTTCCCACCATCTTCCCACCGAGCGCTGTCAACCGTGGAGAAAGCATGCGCGTGCGACCTTCTGAACTGAGTCTCCACGAGCACCAGCGACAACAAACTGATTCAGACGGCACCGTCCAAACACCCAAAAAAAGGGGTCCGAAGCCAAAGCCCCGCTTTGTAGACGACGACTTCAGCCCGGTCATCTCCGAGCCACACAAGAGAAGAATGGAGGAGGAAGAGGAGGAGGAGGAGGAAGAAGAGGATGAGGACGAGGAGGACGAGGAAGAAGAAGAAGAAGAGGAAGAAGAAGAAGAAGAGGAGAGACACAGTTCTCACAAACTGTCCAAGTTCCAAGGAGGTGGGGAGATGAGGTTGCAGAAGCTGGCCCACAGACACTCAGAGAACCACAAACACCACCATCACCACCACTATTATCATCATCATCATCACCACCACACACCGAAAGTCACCCGCGGGAGTTCCCACAAGCAGCTCCACTCTCACCGCAGCACGGAGCCGCACAGGACTAAAGACGGCTCCAGCTACCTGGTGGCGGCGCACTTCAAGCACCACCACAAAGCGAGCCGCGGCCGACCCACCGAGCTCCCACCGATGGAGAAGCCTTACTTTCTGGACAGGCGGTCTCCGACCAGGTTTGACGACAGCCGCGACCAAACGGCCTGGAGGCCGTGCCTCAGCAACGTGGAGAAGGTGCTGGTGACGGACGTGACCGCCAACTTCCTGACCGTCACCATCAAGGAGAGCAGCACCTCCAAGGGCTTCTTCAAGGACAAAAGATGATTCTGGAAGTTTCTGAGATATTTAGGCAAAGCGGTTTTTGTATGTAATGTATAAAGGAGTATGACATAATAACGTTCATATATATTAAAAAGTTGCATATATTTAATGTTTTGACCAAATGATATGAGGTCCGTTTTACCTGCGGTGTTGGTGAATGTGACGTTTCCTTTGCAGCAGAATGCTGCTTTCTGTACAGAGCTCCGAAATTTCACTATTTTTTCACCTAAAATCAGCTAGAATGTATTTTTTCCCCCCCTCATATCTTCCAAGCTGAGTTCAAAACAAAAAGATGCCCATGTCCTATATTTAATCTATTGCTTGAGCTGGTTATTCCAACAGTATATATGAAAAAATAAACAAACTGGAGCACTTTGAATACAGTAGTATTAAAGAAAAATTGTTTTGTTGTCCTAAAGAGTTTTGTAACATCTTGTATTTAAAAAAAAAAAATCTTTTAAATTAAACCCTTTTTTTGCCTTCAAGGCACATTTAACATTTTTTTCCCCAAGAATATACATCATTTTACATTTTTCATAGATATGTTTGCCGTAACAGAAAGTTTTCAGATTGCTTTTTAGATGCTTTTCAATAAATCAGTTGAGTTTCTGATATCTTTGAGTATTATGGTCTGTTTTTTTTTTCCCAATCCATAATCTATCAGGATTATGGATTGTTTGGGGATTTTTTTTTTCTTCTCCTACCAAACAAATAAATGTAGAGGTGCCGAGGCCTGAAGGCTCACAAGTCCCCTGAAATTGAAATGGTCACAAATGTCTTAATAAATTCTTATCGCTTTCCTGAAGCAGTTTAGTCCAGGTTAGATTTAATCAAACCAGCGACAGAAGGTGGAGCTTTATTTTTAGGCTTCTTAAACCGAAAACCGAATTGAACCCGCATCACTTAAAGTTACCTGCTGCTGTGTATTTTCTTCAATGGGGCATTAAAGTGTTTTCACAAAACGTTTCTGCTGCATCTCAGACTGTGTGCAGCGCATGCATGCCTTATTTCATGCCGCTTTACTCCACGCTGTCTATTCATAAAAAAGTATGTGGTTTGATTTGTAAGCATGATGTATACATAATAGTACTAAAGGGGTTTGAACACGGGTATTTATTAGTTGTTTTATTTTTATTTTATTTTGCTGTTACTCAGAAGAAGAAAAAAATATTCTACAACTAGGAAAATACGTGAACTACACTCTGATACACCAGAAAACATTTTTGTGTTAGTTTGTCTTCATGTGGAGTTTGAAGGACGATAACAGGAAGAAAAGTTTATTTCTCTCATTTTTTCTTCTTTTTTTTTTTAAACATCCCTTCGTGAAGTTCGTGATCGCGTCGTTCCTGGTCGTTTTTCTGCAAGCAGAGAGGAGGGGAGAAAAAAAAACAACAGAACAAAAAAATTAATACAGGATCGTGTTTGATCAACGCGAAAACGAGCAGACGGATTCGCGACGCGATGTGACGTGTGTGTCGTTTTTTTTTACGTGTGTGTCGTTTTTTTTTATTTTTATTTTTTTTAACTAGGTTTAATAAACGGCACGTCACACGGGACTTTGTTTCCAAACTGGACCCGAGAAAGGTTCATCTGAACTGAGCTGAGCCTTAAACGCAACTACAGATTGAACAAACAAACAAAAAACAAAACAAAAAAACGTCACTGAAGAAAGCTAGGGACAAGTTTTCTTTGTATACAACGAAGTCCACGAAGAAGAGGATCATTTGACTGCAAGCTCTGCTGTGGCCTCGCGAGGACTGAAACGTTTCAATAGGCCTGCAAACGATGCAATAAAGCCTTTGACTTTTATCAGTTTAAGCAGCGCGCGGATCGGATCCGAAGAACTGGACGTGAGGAAGACTGGAGGAGACCTTGGCGCTCAGACCGGCTGTCCGTAGTTGCGGTCGCAGCGCGGGGGGCAGTGCGGGTTCAGCCAGTACTCCATGTTGGTCTCCTGGGCCCGCTGGTCCAGCGCCTGCATGCGGAGCAGATGCTCCTGCGGGAGAGAGGCAGAGTCACCTGGAGGAGACGATGCTGCACTGAAGTTTCAACAGGAGGCAGAGAGATTCAGTGCAGGAAAGCATGAGAGTTTTTATTATTATTATTATTATTATTATTATTATTATTATTATTATTATTATTATTATTATTATTATTATTATTATAGGTTTGTAAAAATACTAAACAGTGTAAAAGTACTAAACGATGAAAGTAAACTGCTGCAGATACGGGGGAAAAAAACCAAACAAACAAAAAAAAAAACTAACTTTCCCATAAGTGAATGAGGTCTGATCTCAAACTGGCATCCAGTGACGGGATGGGGAAGAAAGACGTCAAGTGGACGCGTCAAACTCAAACGGACGTTTCACTGCTTCCAGAAACAAACATGGCCGTAATTTAAAGTTTCCGAGCAAACAAACAAATACTGGGATTCACTTTCACAGCTCACAGCAACTCAACGCACCAAACACTGTTTCTCGTTCTGATGCGGTTTACTGCAAATACACATATTGCATTACATTTGAAGACTCCATGTTATGCATTTATTATTCTTATTCTTATTCTTATTCTTATTCTTATTCTTATTATTATTATTATTATTAATAGCAGGGCCAGTGGGACTTCTTCCTTGAATTACTCCCTGGACGCCTTTTTGCCTCCTGCTCCCGCACAGACAAATAAATGTAGAAGAAACTCCCTCGAGAAAGCCAGTTCTGTAAAACACAACTTCGTAATCATGCACACAAAGAGGTATTTATTTGTTCAATGTTAATTTCAGAGACTTCCAGTCTGACACTATTTTGAGTGTAATTAGCCTTTCTCCGTGAATGGTGTGTTTTGTGACAGTGTTTACACTGCGCACAACACTGGAGGGAAAAAAACACATTCCACTTTCACTGGATGTGCAAAAATCAATAAGCTTGGACCACCCACACAGGCTGTGCCGCCCTGGGCAATGAGCCACATCACCCATGTTATTAGTCGTACAAAAAAAAAATTCTAAGTATTAAACTAAGGTTCACTGTAATTTAGTTAAATTAAGACTTAATAAACGGTTCATGCATTTGGGGAAAAGATGGCTTTCCCCACAGCACTTTCTACAGTTACCGGCTTCATGAAATGTGAGGAAAAAAAGATCAGAAAGCAAATTTCTACAGTGGAAATCATAGAGAATCCATCCTGTAAGTTGAGCATGTTTATTCAGTTGGGATTTGAGGGGTTTTATAATGACAACATGTCAATAAAACCTGTTTTGCAAATGGGATAACGCTTAGTTTTCTTCTACAACAATTTTGGGACATTCTGAGAGAGGGATCTTTCAGTATTCTTAATTTCCCCACTTCTCTCTGGATACTCCACAGTGCTGGGTCTTCTTTCGTGCTTCCTTCTCTTCGTTTAGTCTGATGGCAACATTTTGGTCCTCAGCGATTTATTCTGCAAACACAACCTCGCAGCTGAACAGCTTTTTCTTTCCCACCATCCGCAGTTCTGAAGTTCCCAGTAGCTTTGAAGCTTTTTCTTTTCTCTCCCTTGCCGTCCTCCTCACTCTACCTGGTGCCTCATCCGACTCCAGTTGTTTGAAATTGCTATATAATTCATCTGACCCACTCATCTGGACATCATGCTCACTTGTCTTTCCCATTTTGAAGAACAAAATACAAGAAACTGACCCACCTCAGTATCACATAAACAACATAGCCCATAATGATTTACAAGTTTTGAATGATCTGATCCACTCAGTAAAATAACGCCTGAGCTATAAAGAAATGTTAGACAGTGAAATGTATTCTGTAATGTGAGATATTTTATGATTGGCTTTTTCTTGTTTCTCATCTTACCCTCATTGGTTCGTCGGGGTGGCCGGCCTTCACCGGCCAGTCCTGCCTCTTGCTGCGAAGAAGCTGCTTGGCAAACTTCTCCCTGATGACAGGATTGGCAACTGAGGAGGAAACAAACAGTTTGTCTGCACAGTTCATTGTCTTGTGATACACTCACCACCCCCCATCACTCTACCCCCCCTCCACCCACTCTCTGGCTCTGGCTGAAGCAGTTTCCAAACAGGACAGCAGTTTTCGGCTCCTGGCTGTGTGGATGTGAGTCAGAGTGCTTCCTCCTGGTATTACCAGCTCGCAGTTTAACCTCAGCCTGTTTTTGTTTGTCTTTCCATAAACATGGCAGCTGTTTTTGTCACAGCTGGGTATTGGCCAATCAGAACAACATCCTTTCTCAACCAGGGCAGCTGAAAGAGAGAGCTATTTAGCTCTAGCGCTGATGTGAGGCTGTTTTTTGCTTTTTTTTTTTTTTTTTACCCCCACAGCCAATCCCAGGGGAGCTGCTCCTGTAAACACTGGTCTCTGCAGAATGAGGACTCTCTGTCCCCTCTCTTTCTCTCTCTCTCTCTCTCTCTCTCTCTTTCTTAACCCAGGGCTGTGTTTGGAGGCCGGGTAGGTAACAAAGTGCTCATTCATCCTTCACACTCCCTGGAGAGGGACTCCCAGCAGCACGTGACCCCAGCACGCAGTCGGTCAGGGAGGCTCTGTCTTCTTCTGGCGCATGAGCGAGCTGCAGGGGAACGGCACCTATACTTCTGTCAACATCGGGGCCCCGTCTGGTGCAGGTTCTGCTGCAGCTGGGGCCTCACAGCAATACGTGGCAATTTTCTCGTCCATAAATATGGGCAATACAAAAAAACACACACAATCTGAAATCCAGGAGTCTTAGTGATTTTTGAGAAAGGAAAAAAAAACATGCTTTGGATAATAAAGTAACTAGCCTTGTTTATTTGAGCAAAAATAAAAAATATGTTACTAATTCCATCTGTCCTCAAAAATAAACAGTAGCCTTGTTTATTTAAGCAAAAATAAAAAATATGTTGTTACTAATTCCATCTGTCTTCAAAAATAAACAGTCTTGTAAAAAAAAACAAAAAAAACAACCTTTTTTCTTCACAATCTGTTTCCCAGTTGCTGGGGAAAAAAATACAGTTAAGATACACAATAAGTATATTAAATAGTGCTAATATCTATCTGCTTTTCTCTGTGACTTTGATCTGATTATACCTTCAGCTTTATTCAGAGATGCAGTCCTACCTGTTTCAGTGGCCAGCAGGACGAGGCAAAGCAGAAACACCACCAGCTCCTTCATCTTTCCTGCCTGAGTCTTCTCGGCTCTTAGCTCCACACTGCAGCTCAGAAGGTGTGGAGGGGGGAAATTTCTCCTCCCTGTCTTCCTCCCCCTTCTCCTCGCCCACAAATTTGCCTTTTTATTCGGTGAACATACATTTCTTGTTTCAACTGTATTTAATTCCACACAAGCAGGCTATATAGGTTTTGAGAAATATTCCTAATTTTTAAAAAAATGTTAACAGATCTGTACCTCTACCCTAAATTTAAATTATATCAGTGACATATAAATCCACTCCTTGTTTGTCACTGTGACCTTTATCAACTCAGGGCTCTGTCAATAACAGTCTGTAGTCACTTTATTAGGCTCATCTGTTGAAAGAGGCAAAGACGACTTGCTGAAACGATAATGATGCTTTAGAATGAGAATAAAATAGGACTTAGTGAAGATTATGCATGTATACCGAAATCCAAAAGCATTGCATAACTTTTTAATCAATCTGGATCCAAACGTATGTGGCACAATTCCAATACCTTACCAAACTAAGGAATAAGGCAGCTCTGTCTGCAAAAGAGGGTCCAACTCAGAGCAGGCAAATTTGACCCGATAAAGTCCATTGTCCTGCTCGTCTCCTACATATGATGCTTAGTGCATCTTTTTTTTTTTTTTTTTAACAAATATTTATTTTTTCATCAACATTTTTTGTAGCACAAATAGGACAGCATGGCCAAGTTTAGGTACTGAATTAAAGTGAACCAAAAAAAAAAAACCTGCTGTCAAGACCTTAAGCACAACTCTGACTTATTAGGAGCAAAACCGCAAAGAAATAAGTTGTGGTACAAGTCTTTTGCTCAGTGAAATAGAGGATTGGGTTAGTAAAAACATAATTTATACAAATTTCAGTAAGTCAAGTGAACAATATAACACACTGATTTAATAAAAATATTGAAAGTGAGAAAAAAAAAAACAGAAAAACGTCATTTTATTAGGGGAGTGACGAATTGCAACAGTGTGGAGGAGTGTCCACTAGATGGCAGTGCTAACACATACATACACACACACACCCACACCCACACCCCCCCCCTCCCACACACACACACTTGATGCGTTTTTTCTGAGAATGTATTTGATTCATGAAATGATTTATATGAAACACCATCTGAGGAGAAATACTACCTTCATAGCTCATTAAAACTGGGATTATAAACAAAAGTGAAACGTTTGTTAAGATTTAAAACATTTCTATGCGAGTAGTTTTGTTGTGTGTGTCAAACGAGAATGAACGAGCACTCCGGAAAACGTCTTCTTGTGTCATCGCGATCGTTTCCACATCTCGCGGTTTTCTCCCTCATCGTTGTTTCCAGAAGCGTTTGGTAGTTTAATACCCGTGATTAATTCTGCGGAAGCAGGAGACCGCAGATGTTGTCCTCTCATTGTGTGAATGTGTCACTGTGAGCTCAACACGGCGCATGCGCAAGCTTGACCTCAGGCAAGCGCCCCAATGATAATTTATGGGACGAGGTCTGTGATGACGTCAGTGCTCGCTCGAATTGTGTTTTAACCAGGTTTTCATTATTTTGTTTCATTGCGTCACCTGGAATATTTTTATTCTGGTCAATATCTTGGAAATAATAATAATAAAAAAGACATACCAATTGTTCAAAAATATAAACATATATATTTAAAATATTTCCCCATTATTTTTCAAGCTGAATTATGAAAATTTAGGATATATATATTTATTTATAAACATTATTAAGCAAACACCAAAAGTAAGGTTTAAAAATGGCTTTTAAGAGTTTACTAATAATCAATAATTATGTCAATAATACTGACAGGAAACGTAACTTTGCCATTTCTTGTAACTGAATTGAATTCGTACGGGTGAACCATCTTCGCGTGTAAAGACTCTTTGCAGGAGTTACGTCAGCGTCATAGCTTCGTGTCTTGACGTGATGCCGTCCTCTTCCTGTTTGTAGTTTTCATCTTCAAACTACAGAGCAGCATCCTGTTGATGCCAGTGAACATGAGCTCGGCGGGGTCTCTGCGCTTCTCTCCCCCCGTCTGCGCGCCTTGAAAGCCCGTCGCTCGTGTGCGGACCGCGGCCGCGATGTGCCAGCAAGGGGGCGAGGCGAGGGAGGACTGCGGCTCCCGGGAGGAGTGGACGCTGCTGTTCTGGACCTCTCTGGCCGTCATCGTCCCGGTCATCCTGACGCTGTGGTGCAGCGCGCGGCGCTCCAAGAGGAAGACCCACATGAAGGAGTTCTTCAGGAAGAGCAAACACGGCTGGCACTACACGGACCTGTTCAACAAGCCCACCTACTGCTGCGTCTGCTCGCAGCACATCCTGCACGGGGCTTTCTGCGACTGCTGCGGCGTGTGCGCAGACGAGCAGTGCCTGCGCCGGGCCGACAGGAGCCTCCCGTGCAAAGAGATAGTGGCCCCGTCTCGCCCTGACGGATCCACGGAGCACCGCTGGGTCCGCGGCAACGTGCCGCTGGCCAGTTACTGTGCTGTCTGCAAGCAGCAGTGTGGGACTCAGCCGAAGCTCTGCGACCTCAGGTACCAGAAATGATGACCAAACAAGTAGATTGAACACATCACCGTGACCTCATGAAGCACCAGCCTTTCATGGTTTTAGATGAAACATACAGATAATGAGTGAAACGTTAGTTATATACGCACATAAAAAATAGTCACACGTGTGCATTAATTTACATTAATCTTTCAGTCCATTAAGATCAGCAGATGATCCAAAATATCGATAACCATTCATAGGTGTCAAATCGATACTAGTACGGTAAAAATCGATCCCAGCAAAGCTACTCCAAAAAGTTACATGTTTAGGAATTTTCTACATTTTTTATTTTTTGAAAATGTGATTTAAATTCTACTTCTCAAACAAATTGGAATGTCGTGGTCTCACATTAAACCTTCAATAAAAATGAAGCAAAAACAAGATTATTAATGATAGACATCCTATAACACCAAAATGTTTCCTGAAGACATTTGTTGTCTTTTTAGTCTTTCCTATTAATACATAACCAATATATCCTTGGTTTTACCGGGTGATGAGCAGAGATATTTCTAAATTTTAATGTTCATGACTTTTCACCAATGCTGCATGTGAAGCTTCACTGTTTATGCTTTCGAGCTTCTCTGACGTCTGGTTTTCATCTACTCCTGGGATGTTGACAGAACTCGTCTGACAGCCGGAGAACAAACACGGTTTCACTGGAAAGACGTTCCACCTTATTTCTAGCTCAGCGTATGCTTACCTTACAAATCAGAAGGCATGTTAGAAAAAGAATGCATAACGCATTTGGAAGAATTTAAACAACAAGATTAGGTTGTGCAGAAATAAAATGAAATATAAAAAAGTTGGTAATTTAAAGAGGTAAGTCTGAGGTCAGAATCGGGTTGAGTGGAAACCGCTCTCTCTTCCTGCCCGTCTGATGAACTGCAGTTTTCAAACGTGCGCAGGCTTGCCGTTGCTCTTCTCAATTCCCCATCCGTGGTTTGACTCCAAACCGTCATGGTGCGTCTCCCTCTGCGCCTCCTTTCCAGGTGCGTCTGGTGTCAGACCACAGTCCACGACGACTGCATGGGCAGCTTAGCGGACGCAGAAACGTGTGACCTGGGCGAGTTCCACAGCCTCATCATCCCTCCTCACTACCTCTACCGTGTCAACAAGCTGCGCCGCCGGCACCCCGACGAGTTCACCAAGGTGCCACGAATCTGACGTGGATCGCCCGAGTCGCTTCCTTTACCTAGAAGGTTTCATGGCTGTTTTCTTTTTGTTTGTTTTTCCTGCAGCTGGGCGCTTCCTGTGGCAGAAGCTGGACACCTGTGTTGGTGTTGGCCAACACACGGAGCGGCAACAACATGGGGGAGGCTCTGCTGGGAGAGTTTCGAACGCTCCTCAACCCTGTGCAGGTCAGCTTCTGCCTTCCTCCAGGTTGAGCCATTTAATCAGTTAATTGCATGATAAATTAAAATGAGCTCGGTATTTTCCATTCTGATTATTGATATTTTTGTTTACAGACTTTAGAATCCATTTTATTCATGGCTTCAGTTTGAAGCATTTTTTCATTTCTTTATTTCTGGTTTATGAATTGTTTTTGATTCCAGTTCTAGTCTAAAGTGTTCTTTACAAAGTTTTAAAGTTAATTGTGTTTTTTGAGAGAGCAAAACATTCTTTATTAAGCCATTATCAATATATTACTTAAAAATTGTCTGTGAAAAGCATTAACTTTTGTCGCAATGGGACAATTTATTGTGTAGCAAAAATTTTTGTCGTGTCAGGCCGACTTCAGGTGTGTCAGCCTCAGATTTGATCAGAGCGGCTCCGTCCTTTTCCAGGTGTTTGACCTTTCCGAGCTGACTCCTTCCAAAGCCCTCCAGCTGTGCACCCTGCTGCCCCCAGGCAGAGTCCGGGTGTTGGTGTGTGGAGGTGACGGCACTGTGGGCTGGGTCCTGGATGCAATAGATGCAATGAAACTCAAGGTATGATGATTTTGTTCAGCTTTGATGAAGTCTGGAGCTTTTCAGAAATCCCCTCCCCGTTCCCCAAATAAGGAGTCTGGTTTTTGGAAGAAAAATGAACGAGAAAGGTACAATTAAAAAAAAAAATAAAAAGGGAAAACCACGGTAATGCGCTATTTTGTGATGATCTATCATATGAAATCTAAATAAAACCAAAATGTTTATGGTTAAAATTTTACAAATTGAGCTTTTTTTTTTTCAAAGCAGCATATGTCAACTTTTTTTAAAAAAAATTTTATATTTTTTATTATGCTGCTTTTCTTTCAGGACCAAGATCAGTTTATCCCCAGGGTGACCATCCTTCCTCTAGGGACAGGAAATGACCTTTCCAACACTCTAGGCTGGGGCGCCGGGTACGCTGGGGAGATCCCAGTGGAGCAGGTTCTCCGTAACGTTCTGGACGCAGAGGTGGTCAAAATGGACAGGTAGGGGTTCAGAACTGCATATTTTTAGTTTTTTTTAAAAATTAAAATAGTTCAGTTGAACAGTTTGAATGTGAATGCGGATGCTCTTCCTGGTCGTTTCAATGCTGCTGATCTGCACAATGGCAATTTTCAGATGGAAGGTCCAAGTAGCGTCAAAGGGGGTCTACTTTCGGAAGCCAAAGGTGATATATTGTTACGTTTTTCAAACACACGGCTTTGTATTTCCGTGCAAACATGTTTACAAGTCAAAGCTGACCCGCTGATCTTCTCCCCCCCTCCAGGTTCTGTCCATGAACAACTACTTCTCTGTGGGGCCGGATGCTCTGATGGCGCTCAACTTCCACGCCCATCGTGAGAAAACGCCCTCATTCTTCTCCAGCCGCATCATAAACAAGGTCCCAGCGACTCGTTTGAACACGCAAATCCCGTTCAAACTTGACCACACGTATTTTCATATGAATACACAGCTGCTGGTTGTAAATTTGGTGGCTTTGCTTTTATTTGTCCTCCCTCAGGCCGTGTACTTCCTGTATGGCACCAAAGATTGTTTAGTGCAGGAATGCAAAGATCTGGATAAAAGGATTGAGGTATGGTAAGCTCTGTCATTGTAGATTGGCCCTGATGTGTTTTTTATTTGACACAATAAAGCTGCTGAAAGGAGCACAATATAATCTCACCTAGTGAAGCAAAAAAGCAGTGAGCTTCAGCTGAGCCAGGCTACTGTCATCTTCTTTTATTTAAAGTGAAACTAAGCCTGTAAGTAAATTTACAAATGCATGCAGTTAGATGAGTTAAAGGGTCCATTTTTATGGTAGAGTTGTAATAAAATGCGAAATGGATAAAGGACATTGTCTGTGATTTGCAGCTTATGAAAATCTAAAGTAGTGAAACTAACAAAATAGATTTTATCTAAAGGGAGCAAATGCCATCACACAACCCTGCAACCCATCAAACAACCACCTCAGTCAGCCTCACTGAACTACAGCTGCTGTTCCTGGGTATGAATGTTAAACTTTTCGGATTTATTTAAGCCACAGTATTTTAAAGGAGGAATTTTATAGAACGAACATAAATAATTTTTAAAAACGATCTTTGGGTCTGAATCTTTAAAAACAATCCACATTGCATCCAAATGTAATGCCCATATTCAACTAAAGCTTTTCTAAGTGCAGTGAAAGGCTGTGGAGCGCCTTTTAACTGGAAAGACTCCACTGCGGTTCAGTTTCAACAACTGCAATGATTTGGTTGGCTTCAACCTCAACCTGATTGAAAATTTAGGAACTATGAAAAGCCATAATCGTGTCAGGAAATCAACCGATCTAAACTTTGCCAATTCCTAGAACAACTCCAAAATCGTTCAATTCTCTTTGGAAATCTTGGACCTCTACAAATATGATAGCAGCATAATTATGCAAATTTAAGGAGTCTCATAATGCCTTTTGGACATCGTGTGTCGCTTGCATTCAAAAAAATAATTTTTTTGAATGTGTTTAAACTAACCCTCCTGCAGCTGTAATCTGTAATCAACCACTGCTTCATAAGAAATAAACCAAAACGCTGAGGATTGATCCATCGATGAATCATCTCTGACTTAAATATGAATTCATTTCCACATTATGGCACAGGTTACAGAAGATGTTGAACTCTCTCACCTGAAATGGTGAAGATTGTCGTTTGAAAGTAAACGCTTAAATAATTTGGTATCATTATCAAGCAAAGACGGAACCAAAGTGTTAATTATGGAGCCATCGTTTTTGTGACTTTATTTGTTGATGGCGTTTGCCACCACAGCTGGAGCTGGATGGGGAGCGGGTGGCGCTGCCCAGCCTGGAGGGCATCATCGTTTGCAACATCGGCTACTGGGGAGGAGGCTGCCGGCTCTGGGAGGGGATGGGAGACGAACCCTGCCCCCCGACTCGGTGAGACCCGCTTAGGCGTGAAAATGTAAGGAGAAGAACGCAAATTTTTGAGGGGGGCTCATGTGACGGATGCCCCGATCCCGCAGGCTGGACGACGGGCTGCTGGAGGTGGTGGGAGTGTTCGGTTCTTTCCACTGCGCTCAGATCCAGGTCAAGTTGGCCAACCCTGTGCGACTGGGACAGGCACACACTGTCAGGGTGAGAGCATGCCCCTCTTCCCCCTACACACACCCTCACACATCTGAATGACAGCATTATCAGGCCTGTCTGTTGCATTTAGGAGCATTTTTAGAGAAGGACTTTTATTTTTCTGTCTAGTGTTAATAATAAACTGTATTTATTGTCCAGAATATTTTACTCCATAAATAAGTTCCAAAAAAAAATCTCGAGTTTCTAACCAAAGTAGTTATCAATTTAGTTATTTAATTGGCAAAATGTAGAGAAAAAAATTATAAATTTTTATACCTTTCTGAATATATTCTTTATTTTATGGAACTATATTATAGGGGTGCACTGATTGCACTTTTCTGGCTGGTCGCCAATTTCTAATCTTTAAAAAGCTTCACCTACCAATTCTGACTTGGGTCGATATAAGTTTGTTTCGTCTGAAATATCAGCAAGAAAGTCACTGAGTTGGCTGGGGCGACTATTGTTGCTGCAAACGTGCAGACATGACCTGGTGGGCCGGTCTGTCAGTCGAGCCTTTCTCACAGGAGAGCAGAACTGGACAGTGTTTGATTTTTGGATCAAACACCGATAGATAAGATCGGCTTCACATGTAAGTATTTGCCGATCACCGATCTCCCAAAACTAAGCAAATCGACACCAATAAATCAGTACACCCCTACTATATTCATAATTTTTCTGGGAGCTACACTTTTGATCAATTATGTACTGTATATATATATATTTTCCTCAGGATTATTTGCTGAAAGATGCGTATTATGCACTAAAACGTCCTTGTGGATCGGTGGGTGTGATATTCTAACCTGTGGGATTTTCAACCTGCAGCTGGTTCTGAAGAGCTCCACCATGCCCATGCAGGTGGACGGGGAGCCCTGGGCTCAGGGGCCCTGCACCATCACCATCACCCATAAGACCCAGACCTGCATGCTGTACCACAGCGCAGAGCAGACAGACGATGACGATGACGAGTCCAGCGCCTCCGAGCCGGAGAGCCCGACCCCTCACGACTCGCCCAGGCCCCCGTGGTTGACTGCTGTGCAAGCGTGACGCGCCTCGGGCGTCACGTGACCCTAAACGCCTCTTATTATGGTTCCAGTTTTACAGTCCGACTTCACTGGTCCACTGTCTGCTTGAGTTTGTCTCCACTTCATATGCTGAGTCAGTTTTGAATCCTCGTTTTGTGTTCTTTGTCCTTTATCCTTTATTTGTTGCAGCTGAGAGCTCAGGCATTGACTATCTGGAGCAGCCAGGTGGCCGCGAACGTGTTGAGGAAAGCTTTCTGTTTATTTGCACTGATCCCTCGTGCCGTATAGATTGTAGAATCTAGAGATAACTGTGCTGTATTTATTCTGCTATATTTAAAACTAAGTGCTCCTTTTCGTGAGACAAATGTATCTCGTCCTCCACGCCCTCCAAAAGCCATGCCAAACCTGCAGCAGGCCACGAAAAGCTGATACAAGGAAAAGTCGTATAAGAGATGACATCAACTCTCAGTTAATGGTCTAAACCAAGCACAAAAGAAAGCTCTCTCTTGTGTTTATTGCTGAAACTTTGAACGTTTGCTAAAAGACCCATGAAGATGACATAATGGCCACCTCCGAGATCCAGTGACTTGCAGACGTATTCTTGCACCTTGGAGCTTTCCACATTTTGTCAAGTCACAATGAGAAACGTCAGTGGGTTTTATTGGGATTCAATGTGATAGACAAGCAGAAAGTCCAGCATAACTATGAAGTGGAAGGGAAGTGGGAGAGTTTTCAAAATGTTCCTGAAAGTATAAAATGCTGGGAATACATTTGTATTCATAACCCTGGATAAAGGGGCTGTGCTTCCAGTCGTTTGGGCGCCGCCTCTCCCGCATCTAACCCCATTTAACTCTTTCTGTTGGCCTATTACATCAAACCACAATAAAACATACTCAAGTTGGAAATGTTACAATTTTCACCTTTGGAAGTGACCATCTGTTTAATCATGCGACACTGCTCCTTTAGTTTGCATCTTTGGAGCAGTTTGAGAAGCTTTCCTCATGTGCTGAATATTCAGTCACTAGATATATTCAGATATATATATTCAGATATTCAGATCCACTAGATGTCCCTGCAGGAAAATGGCTGACTTGTTGAGGGTCAATATGAAAGCACTGCCAAGTCAATATGGAACTACTTTGCCAACATGTAAAAAAAAACAAAAACATATTTCCTCATCTTTTCAAACTGTTTACATACTTTATGTTGCACTTGAGCGTAGCTCCTATCCATGTTACTGCCATAAGTTATTACACCTGCTGATGAGATTTTCCATTGTGCAAAGCAATCCTTCAGCTTCTCATGTTTTACCTGTTCTCACCACAAGGGGGCAGGCTGAGGAGAGTATTCAGAGGTGGAGCTTTTCAGACCAGTTTAGTTCAGTAGTTGCAGCATCTGTCCAGGTGTAGTTGCAGCATCTGTCCAGGTGTAGTTGCAGCATCTGTCCAGGTGTAGTTGCAGCATCTGTCCAGGTGTAGTTGCAGCATCTGTCCAGGTGTTGCTCGGATGAGGCTGTTGCACTTCGTGTTTGTCGGAGATCCTGGTGCTGGCGGGATTCCTGGCGCTCCGAGCCACATCAGGAGAAGTCTGTCGGATGTCTGGTTAAGGGTTTGCTGCAGCAGGCTTTAAGGTTGAGCAGCATCAGTAACTGGGCATGGTGATGGCTTGCCGGACGACACCTGCTTTACCTTTCATAGGCGTTTAGCAGAGCTTTGTGTTGTGATGAAGCAGCTTTTATGAAGCTCAAACCGCATGATTCTCCCTCTAAGTTTTAATTTTTCAAGCTGATTTGACGTGTTTTATTGCAGGACTGACATTGTCATTGCTTGGGCAGTCTTGTGCATTTGTGAGACTTTAAGATGGCTTGTAAACAGTATTGATTTTAAAGCTAAAATTTCAGAAAAGCAGCTTAAGCTTTAAAAACGCGACTAAAAGACTTGAAATACTTGTATAATCGACTTACTTCTCTGCTGTCAAAATTGATTATCATTATCTGCTATAATGATAATCAGCAACTTTAGGAAGACTTGTGTGATCCCACTTTACCACAAACTACCAAGAAACTGAGCTCAGAGGAAAACAAGCGTTTAATGCCAACAATCATGAAAGAATGGCTGTTTACAAAATGTGACAAGAACCAACTTTGATTGAGATGAATGTAAAGAGATGATGTTTTGAATTTGAAGACATTCCCATAAATATTTTCATACATAGCCGAGGTGTTTCTGTGTTTTCATTCAGTTCAATCGATGAGACGAAGAATAAATTAACATTTACATTTCTGATGGCAATAGAGCTTGGAAAGCGGTTTGGGATGCATCACCTCAATCCCTGAAGTGGAAATTAAACTTTGAGATTTTTTGTGTTGTTCTTCTTTGAAGTTGGATATTCCATGTTTTCACATACAAAATCGTGACTAATGCAGTGATGAGCCTTTTTTCCTCCATTTGTGTTCTTTTTAAACAGATGAACATATTCTCGTGTTTCTACAGTTCAATATACAGTTAAAAATGTGATATCTAACTTTTAAATATCGACGCTTCGCGTTATAAAGCAGGTGGCAGGATCTACGCACAGATGCCACACAACAGCGCAGATAAGGTGCATGCAAAGTTTATAATTTCATTCAGGTCAGATGAGATTATAAGAATTACTTAGCAAGTCATAAATGACTAACTGAGTTTATAACTATAGTTATATTTGAATAAGGAGTAAAGGCTGGTTAAGTTTAATACCCCAAATAAAACATGAAGCAAACAGTTTCATTTAATAACAATCACAACAGTGTTACTGTGCGTAGGTCCATCAGTCCCTTCAGGTTCTGCTGATGAACTCCGACGCTCACCGCTACTTATTTTTTCTCGGATGTGGGTTGGGCCTGGCCGGTTTCCCTGACGGCGGCTGTCCTTTCGGCTTGTCTTTCTTAGCAGAGTCGGGTCTTTTCCCCCCAGGCTTCTGTCCTCCTTGTGCACTTGGTGGCTTTTTGCCTTGCTCTGAAACAAAGTGCAGAATGCTTTCTTTTCTCTCTCTCTCTCTCTCTCTCTGCAGCAGAACAGACAAACTGCTGAAATGAAAGTTTTTAAAACACGCCCGTCGGTTGCATTGGAAGAGGCCCAAGAGGAAAACTTACAAGGCCTGAACATTAAAAGTGGTTATTCAGGTTTGAGAGAAGCTACTGTTTTTATTGGCCAAAGTATGTTTGAACTTCGTCCTGAGCACAACTGACTGCAGACACACGGTCACCACCTGACAAACAGCTGGATGCTGAACTCAGCAAGCCTTCATAGAAACTCAACTCTGGCTGAAAACTTTTAGGATTTTATGTGACAGATCAATGCAAATTAATCAACTGATCCGAAGTTTCAGGAACAAGTGTGTTGTTTACAATTTTTTCCCCCCCTCATTAAAATCTGAAAATATAGCAAGTATTTGTATCGCACCATTGAAGTGTTTGGTAATAAAATGTCCCATATTTCACACAAATAGAAAGCTCAAAGTGTGAGATATGTTGTTTTTCACTCAATTCAGATACACAAACCAATAATGTAGACAACTTCCTGTTGGTCTTTTACATAGAAGACTAAATTGAAGCCATAAAAGTTTATGATAAAGTGACAAAATATCTTAGATGCTCCAGGGCCCTATCTATTACACCAATTAAATTTGCCAAAGACCAACAGTCTAAAAATCCTCATGCCTGATGCCGGGTTGGTACATGACGAATCTGCAAACAGAATACCAATTTAAATAACTTACTTTGAGAGCCTTGGTGGCCACCGTCAGCCTTCTTGTCTGAAAGGCGAAACAAACAGTAACATGTGAAAGACGTTTTAAACGCGTTCACTGTGATTTCACTGTCCAAATGTATTCAATCTGAAAATCTCTGATCCGTTCTTTTTCTGTGGCATAGTTTAATTTATTTATTTTTTCACACTATCGCTATTTAAAAATGTAATGTTGCTATTTATATAAGTATATCATTTTTTTTCTTCAAAACAACAATATAAAGCAAGGTTCTGATCAAACATGTTTTCCAAACCACCCATCGATCAATGAGCCCCACATGAAACCTTTCCAAAGACAACAAGCTGATCTACGTGTTCCCTGGATCAACCCTGACAATGCAAATAGCTGATAAAAGGCTTCTGGTGGAAAGAAAAACAAAACAAAATAAATAATTTAAAAAGAAACCCAAAACTGTTATATAACCAATTCAAAGAAATAAACGTGAATTAGAAGTTTAACAATTGCTTTGCAGGTCCTGTTACCTGATTTTTTTTGTTTGTTTTTTATTATTATTTAGATGCAAGATTTTTAGAAGTATTTGAGATTTGTGGTTAATGAATGAACAATCTGTTCAACTTTCCTTCTGTCCTCAATGAAGAGGAGAGGCTGCTCTTCTTCCTGCGGCCCTTTTCTTTTTAGCCGTACTTTCAAAATGTTTCACCCCTGGCGGGTTGTTAAAACTCCTTGCGTTAACCAGATGGTAATGAATAGAAACAAAACATTTGTTAAGGTTTCAACTGGAAACCCTAACAAACTAGATTACATAATTTACACGTTAAGCAGTACTTAGTAAGTCCAACAGAATAAACCTTCATAGAGGAAAATAAGGTGATGAACAAAGACATCTGGACAGAAGTAAAAACGTAGAGCTACAGACGGTCGGCTGCTTGTCCAGGCAGTGCTTGGTTTTGGGTCGTCTTTTACCTTTGCTTTGGGGCGGATGCTTCCCGTCTCCACCCCGACTCGGTACCACTTTGTGGACTGGTTTACCGACTGGTTTACCGACTGGTTTTCCTACTGCTTTCTTAGACATTCCTCCGGGACTTTTCTGAGAAGCTGAAGTTTGGAGAAATCTGTAAACTGTTTTTTTTTGTTGTTGTTGCTTATAAATTAAGAGAATACAGTACCATTCTGCCATTGTTAAGATGCGTTGTTCATTTAATTTGCTATAGATGTTGGTTTTGCCCTTAATTAGTTTCCCTCTTTGTGGCCAAGCAAAAATTAAGTCAAATTAATACAAAGAGTAAATAGTTGCGTGTGATGTTTTATGCTACGTACGTGGTTTCTGTTCGTGGAAGAACGCAGGCCTGGAAAAACCAGAAGGTTGATTCTGCTGCAGACTCCATGATGGCTTTGCCTGTATGTAAAAAGGAAAATGGGCGGCTTGGTAGTAGCTCGGGACAGGTGGACGACCTGGACTATGGGAGCTGGGTGGAGGTCTTTGCTCTGGAGGCTTTGAGGAATCTGAAAAAGAGATGGCGAATATCAGAGAAATAAATCATTTACGTGCATTTAAATGATGCATGTAAATCATTGCAAAAAGTATTCATGCCTCTTGAACCTACGTCACGTTACGGCCTTAAAATTCAATCTATTTCATTGGGAGCGGCACAAAGAAGTGGTCTGACTCTGCAGTATAAAAACCAGGGGTGCACTGATTGCAGTGTTCAGGCTGATCGTCGATTTTTAAAAAGCCTGATGCGGCAACACCAATTTTCTTTCACAGAGAAAGCATTAAATATAGCCTCAAGGTAAGTCAGCTGGCAAAAGTGGGACATGAACAGACATGAGCTGGTGGGCGGGTCTATCACTCACCTCTATCTCACAGCAGAGCACAACGGTGGCTGATTTTTTCTTTTTTTTAGGCCTTTGCAGTAAGTAAGCTTTCTTTATGTGATCATTTAGTCATCCAGATATTGACAAATTGCTGATCTTCCAAAATCAAGAAAATTGGGGTTGATTTACTAGTTAACCCATCACAAAAACATAAATTGCCTTAATACTTTTGCAAGGAACCTGATATGAGCACAGATTTCACTTTTAAAAACGCTTGCAGGCAACAATTAGTAGAACATTACATACGAGACTCGGGGGCCGAGGCTGGACTGTTTTCTCCTCCTGCAGCTCCAGAGAAAGAAGTTTCTGCTTGTCCTGAAAAAGGCAAAGTGGCTCCATTTTCAAACACGGAAAAAAAACTGTCTTTTAATACTATTTCACTACAAATTTCACACCAGGGTTTGCACGCGCATCTATGCAAGAGTAATCAGAATTCATTTTGGCCGTTTTCTGCATGACATCAACCCACCAGACGCAGCATACCCAGCGTTAGGCTGTAACCGAACATTACTGGCTTTATTCAACCTTCGTATTAAGAAGACGAGTGGGACATTTCTCATTTTAGGGTGCCTGCATGTTTACCTGGTTTTAGCAGTGGTACTCTGGCCTCAAACGGCTGAGTGAAGAGCGTCATCAGGTTCTCCTGCAGGGTGGCAGCAAAGCTCTGTGTTGCCATCACCCTTTTGGAGTCCAGGTTAATTCGAGGGGTGTGGGGGTCAAACTTAACCACCCGGGGCAACTCGAATGAAGCCTGCGAGGAGCAAGTGAAGAACGTAAGAATTTTATCACTATTATTGTGGGATTTAGTGAGAGGCGTTTCTCAAGGCGCTTTTCCACCAGACCGCCGCTAACCGGTTCCGTCTCAGTCCACCCCGGCAAAACAAATTTTCCATTTGTTTTGCTGCTGGCTGCACGTCTCAGTGAAGAACAGGCCGCAATGAAGAAGAGACAAACAGTGACGCTGTGGTCAGCTTTCTGACGCATCTGCAGTTTTACTCAGACAGTGTGAAACACCAGAGACACGTAATGTTAGCTTGTGATGTGAAATTTATTTTTCCTTTGGATTAAAAAAATATATATCTACATATATGGCAAAAATAATCAGCTGATCTGAGTCTTACTTATCATGTTTAAGCCAGCAATGAATTTCTAGGACATATCTGGGTTTATCTGAGTCCATCAGAACCTCGAGGTTCTCCATTGCTGAATGTTACTGCGTGTTGACCACAGTGCGCTCAAGGCCCGCCCACCATAACGAGGAACAGAGCGTATAGTGGAAAAGCTCACCACCTTGGGTAAAACCGAACCGCACGCTAACCGGTTAGTGCGCGACTTGCCAGTGGAAAAGCGCCTTTAGTACTGCTACTGAAAGAGGAAGTGTGTTTTAGCCCCACCTGCAGAAAGGCCGGCGTCCCCGCCTGACTCAAAAGACTGTCGATCTTCTCTCTGGCTTTCGTCATCCTCTCGCTGTTGTCAACGAACTTTGTTGTGAGGTCGCGAAGTCTGGCCAGACTAGCCTCCAGCTCACAGTCCACCTCATGCTGGGCCACGCGCTCGTCCTGAGCCAACATCTCCCCGATCTGCTGGTACACAGCAGCCAGCGCCATCTTCCTCTTGCTCGCTGCGTCCTGGAGACGAGCAGGCTGATTCACCTGGGCTTTGCGAACGCCGACATGTGCGGTGCAAAACTTACCTTGAGCTTGCCCTGCAGCTCGTTCATCTGAAGCACGATGACGTCGGTCCTGTCAATCTTCAAGTTCAGAATGTCCAACTTGTCCCTGAATTCAGACTGCAGAGGAAGAAATGAGAAACGAAGGTCAGCTCAAAGTGAACAGTGCTGAGGTTCAGACATATGAGATGTTCTGTGTCCTTCCCTTTTCTCCCCAAAGGTTCTTTTGAGTCACAGCTGAGGACATGTGGCCTGCCAGGAGTAACGTTTGAACTGAGTTGTGTGTTTTTTTTAATATATGGACAAAAATAATAGGCATTTGTTTCTGAAAGGTAAACTACATCTTAATCATGTTCTGACCTACACATTCGTGAGGAAGGCTGTTGACTTGACAGCTGATCAGCAGCCAGTCAACCACCAAAGGTCACAGCTAAAAAAGTTGGTTTCCATGTGTGCTAGTAGAAAGTTATGTGGAAGGAAAAACTGTGTAAGAAAACAAACCCAAACAACTTGGTTTCTGTGAAGAAGATAGTGTCAAAATCCCTCCTAAGATTTGTGAAAAACAGGAGAGCTCCTCCAGAAAACACATATACCCAGAAACGTTTCTCCACCAAGTTCTGGCTCAGACTGTGACAAACGGATCCAATACTTATATCACTTAATGACACTTAAGCATTTTTTATATTTATTTATTTATTTGTTACTTTTATGCTTTGCCTTTTCCCCGATTTATTTTTATGATTATACTTAATTCGTCTCCACACACTTCATTAATATTGATGATAATAACATTGTTTTGTGCTCTGACGGCTATTGACGGCTCTCTGAATTAATTTATGAGGGCCGTGTGACCTCGCAATCATGAGGAAGAACAGGTTAGATGAACAGCAGAAACAACCAGACAAGGAAGAGCTTAAAAAGAACAAACATGAAGTGGCAACATAAAAAAATCTAATCTAGATAACAGCCAAGCAAAACAGAAAGTTAAAAGGAAGTTGTGAAGTGTGATTATTGATGATTGTGCTTAAAGCGCGGTCCAAAATGCATCGTCTCATTTTGAAACGCGCAGCAAATGCAAATAAACTCAGTGACCCTCAGCTCTGCCTCACCTCCTTCTTGCTCCGCTGCTCCTCCGGAGAGGTGAAGCCGCAGCCCTTGTGGACCTGCTGCAGGCAGAGGCTGCAGATCAGGCGGCCGTGGTCGGTGCAGAAGAGCTCCATCATCTTGTGGTGCTCGCTGCAGATCCGCTCCTCCAGGTCCCCGAGGGGGAACGTCAGCTGGTGGAGGCGGAACACGGGGTTCTCCCGGTGGGGCCGCAGGTGCTCCTCGCAGAAGGAGGCCATGCAGGTGAGACAGGTCTGGGCTGCCTCCGCCTCCATGCAGGTGTCACAGCGGACCGCGTCATCCCTCGCATCTTCATCCTCCTCATCTTCATCCTCCTCGTCCTCATCCTCCTCGTCCTCATCCTCCTCCCCTTCTTCTTCTTCGGTCTTGCCGGACTTGACCCGGAAGGTCTCCACCACGGTGCTGAGGACCGTGTTCTTCTTCAGCTCTGGCCTGGTGGCGAAGTGGGTGCGACACTGGGGGCAGCTGTAGGAGTCGGTCCAGGAGGACAGCAGGCAGTTCTGGCAGAAGTTGTGTCCGCAGGGGATGGTGACCGGGCAGTCGAAGGTGCTCAGACAGATGCTGCAGGTCAGCTCGTCCTCCAGGCTCATGAGGGAAAAGCCGGACTCGTCCAGGTCGGCCATCTGACCCGACTCACAGTCTGCGACAAAACTGTGCGAAAGAAACGAAACTGAGCACGCCCACAAAAAACAAACTAAAAAAACAAAAACTCGGTTCAGAGTAGAAAACTGAGATGAAACGTTCGCGCTTGACCCGGTGTTGTCACCGAGCCACAGAAATTAATTTTACCCGACAACAGTGTTTATTCTCATGAAGTTGTTCCGCCTCTGCTGTCAGCAATTTGCTGGGATTAACTCCAGGAAACTTGACGTCCTCACAACCAGCCACGAGTTAAAGCCACTCCCAGTCAGTAGACCACAGAGGAGATAAACAAAGTGATGTGCGGCCATCAGGGAGGGGAAGGTTATGACAATTGCAAGGGCCCCTGACCGACAGGGGGCCCTCCGCAATTTATTAAAACAAAATAGAGAGAGGGAGAAAAAAAGTAAAAGTGTCCATTTATAACCCAGTTTGTTTTTTCCAAGAGAGACTGTGTGAGATTATCAACCACTCTCTGGCTTCCTCCCAACATGACTGCTGTGAAAAAGGCTGTATAACAAACTGCCATGCTGAGCCATTAGGGGTTAAGGGCTTAGAGCAGCTGCAGCATGCAGACGAAGAAAGAGAAAAAAAGAGTGAAAAAGGAGTATAGTTACTTTCGCATCTGTTCGTTTAACCGGCTGCTGTTTATTGTTACCTTCCTTGATGTGTGTGCGTGGAAATACAAGTAAGTGATGTTAGCTGTTAATAATATTGTTTATTTAGCGGAGTATTTTAGTTTTACGCTTAATTAATAGCAAGCACACTTTAGAGTTATACACGGTGGGTTTTGTGGCGTGTATGTAGAAACGTGTTTAGAATCATTGAGAGTGCAGTTGTTCAGTATGTGTGATGTTATTTCAGTCATGTTATACAGACACTGATGCTGTATTGTTGTTTATTTTCTAGAACCACACACAATTACCTAAATAAACGGCAAGTACGAGTTGAATCACCGGGAGTACGACTCTGCGTTCTGTGGAGTTCTGACCGACTCACCAGTGTTCTGAATATTCACACCAGCAAGTTCAAGTTCTAATTTTTTCAACTGCCTATAGTGGTTCCTGCTGAAAATTGCAATTCTTGCTACAGAATTGACAATTTTTCCGATTGAAACATTGTCATTTAACATCCGTCCTTTGGCAAAAATGTGAATATGTAAATATTCCATTAGATGTGCCTCTATTATTTTAGCTTTTTAAAATAAAAAAACAGACTCTTTGCACGTTTCAATAGATTTTGTACAGATACAAAACCTTGACATACTGTTCTGTGGGGCTCTATTTACTTTGGCAAATGGATATTAGATATAAAAGTAAAATAGATTGAAAAATCATCAACATGATCATATTTATCATTTCCAAACACAACACCAGACTGGCTTCTTTTTTTTTGCCTTTCCAATCTTTTTGTATTTTATGTAGCGCGGTTTATGTTTCACTGTCTGATTTGAGTTATTAAAATAAAATAACATTTTGATGATTATCTAATTTTCAGCTGTACAAAGTGTTGTAACACAGGAAGGAACATTGATATGTAGCACAAAAAGCCTGTATTTTATTTGCTGAGGACTTCTGCACAGATAATATTGTAAAGTCATCAGTGGAATCATAAACAGGTGAGGCCACCAACAAGTTTATTACACTGTGTTAGCTATTAATTCCTGGAATGTTAACAGTCCCTGAATAAAACAAACACTGACAAGTTGATCTTTCCTGTAACATCACCTTAGAGAATGTTGGATTGCTTATTCATTTAGTGACATTTCTCTTTTACATAATTTTATTTGCATCTGCTGTAGATTTTGGACACAGCTGACTGCTAACAATAAAGATTTGTTACAACCAGTACATAAACAGCACAGACAGAAACCAAAAACAAAGTGTATTCAATCAATCGATTATACTTTATTAACCCAAAAGAAAAATTACATTGCATTTCAATGTTGTTTATTCCCATTAAAATATCTTACTTAAAATGATTTTTCAGGCTCAAAACAGTAGAATAGATTTATTCCAGGTCAGTTTTGGCTGAATATGTCCAAACAGCAGAGAACACGACTCAAAGAAAGCTTTGATTAAACATGACAAAAAAAAATTAAAGCAGAAGAACATTTATACCCAAGCAAACTTCTAGGGACCCTGGGAAGATCCCTAGAAGTTGTTATAGATAACAACAGTTATAGGTTTAGAACAGGTATGGTGTTAAAAACAGAATCTGAATGCTACAGCTTGTCCTAATACACTGCAGAAACAAATGACTTAAGCTAAGCATCATGCAACATCAAACTTAATAAATTGGAAATCTTCCCTCCTTCCAGTAGCTCACAATAAGTCAACAGATAAGCCAATGAGCCATTTAGTTTCCCAACTTCCAGAGGAAACTAAAGTGTTTCATCTCTGTGAGGCTTAAAAACACAACAGAACCAAGTTCAAATCTGGACCTGGACTGTTGCTGAATATCTCCGTTCTCCGCCATCGTTTCCTCATCCAAACTCCACCAGTGAAGCCAAAAAGTCTTACAGGTGAACAGAAGAGAGACGGATGTTTCATTTCTTTAGTAAAACAGACTCTATGTGACGTCTGCTGTAAACAAAGAAATGATGTCAACACACGAGGCGACAAAGTCATCTCATTCATTTCCTCTGATTTCTTAGATTTGGAATAGTGTGCACAAGTTATATTTTCATCTCGTCATACTTTTTTTGCTGCGACTTTCCATGGTCTTTATAGCTTCATCTACAAATAAAAGCAGGTTTTAAAACACATGCTTAATATCAAAACACTGCACCTAAAAAGACAAGTGATTCATTTTCACAATTTAAACAAGATTTAGTAACTTAAAATAGCTTTTTTTGTGGTAAAAGGTTATTTTATTGAATAGTACTTTATCAGACACATGTTGGATGTATTTTTGGGATACAACTCTTTTCTTCCCATTTCCAGACACCAAAGCCTCGATATCAAGCTTCTCAACTTCTCCCTGAACAAAGTGGAAGCTGAAAGAACCTGCGTGTTGATAGGAAGCAAACACCAAGCAATCAAAAGTAAAGACTTTACAGGTGTTTGTCCAAAACGATTTGCTGCTGGATGTCTTAAAAGGACAGAGCAACACCAGAGAAACGGGGCGTTTAAAGTTTCTGAATCCATCAGTACACTCCTTAACCTGAAGTGTGGTAAAATCACTGTGGATTTGTCGCAACTGAAATAATCACTGCAGTATTTCACAATATTGCGAGCGATTCTCTGATCTCGTGCAGGAATTCTGTAAACAGGTCTGAAAATCCAAATCTGAACCCAGATTATCATATTTTAAGAGATAATAATCTGGTCCACTGCCACAAGCTCAGCTCCTGTCCTGCTGTACATTTTCTGTTTCAGATTAGGAAACAAAAAAGAGAAAAGTGTGTCCATCTCCAATCCACACTGATTGAAAGACAGCCAAGTCTTATTCCTTGATTACATTGGATGTTTTAAAAATCAAATGTTTTCCTTTAAATACATCCCATAATTAGGAACAAAACACAGAATCTAGTCCCAATCACCAAATCCAAACACTTGAGTAAAATGCTTCGGCAGCTTTTACTCTAAACCAAAAACCAATACCAGCTTCTCTTTCAGCCATATGACCAAAACAGAAACTCCCACAACATCCACCAAGAGCCAAGCGCTTTATTATGATCCACCCTCAGCCCTTCCCATCCATTTATGTATTAAGGCTTTCATCTGTCTGCTTAGTCAGTCAGCACAGAATCATAACCTCAATAATCCTTTTGTAAGAATCACCTGATGACAGGGCATAAAGGAATGGCCCAACCAAAATAAAGAAGATCCACATATAGGTGAGAACACCATGGACCATCTTTACTGACTAGGGAAATAAAATAACCAAGAAAGAAGTGTTTAAAGGTATACTACGCAAGGTATAGCTAAACTTAACCTTAATGTGTCATCGTGTCCAACTGTGCAGGAACTCCTCGTCTTGTTGCCAATTCATCTGGGGAAGACTTGAAGTAAAACCAACTGACCACTACATCACTGACTCCCCACTTTTTCATATCGTTTTAGCTTTCACTTAACTTGTACATATGTTTGTTTCTGGATCTTGTGATATTAAAACAATAAGATATCTCAGAATGAGTTTTGTCTTGCAAAGTACAGTTCAATGGAAACTAGAAACTTTGAGTTTAGAAATATTAGCTGCGTAGTACACCTTTAAACCAAGAGGAATCTTGGCACCTCGGAGAAAGTGACAATAATGAGCGAAATTGTTGAATATGATGAAGTGTGTTGTGATTAAAGTGTGATGATGAAGTATCAAGTAAATATACTGGCAATGCTTGGTATGTAGTTTAAATCTGACATTATCATTATTAACCCAACATTTTAGTTGGGCTAATAAGGATCCTTACTTAGATTAATGTTTTATTTCCACATCCTCATTCCAGACTAACCAGTGTTGAATGACACACCAGTCAGCCTGCCATCTTTCTCATGCTTCATTGTAAACGCATGCAGTTTTCACATTTTAACTGCATGTCGAACTTTACTGAAGCTTGCACAGAGTGATGTGAGAGCCACTGGAGAAAATCCAGAAGGCTGGGTAGATGGCCTCAGTGATCTGAAAACTAAACGAATGGAAGGGATACGCCCTGTCTGCCACGTTATAGAACGTAATCTTGCCCTCCTCACAATCCAACAGCACCCCGACGCGCTTCGGGTTCGGATTGACCAGCACCACTTCAGAGCTGCTATGCCAGGCCGACAGCTTCACGTTGAACCACTCGACGCACCAGGACTTGCTGTTGCGACCGAGCCTGCTGGTGGGGCCCTTGCGGTCGATGCTGCCATAGGCCAGCCCGATGCCGATGAAGTTGTTGCTGCTCAGTCGCACCTCCCAGTAATGGCGGCCTGCGGAGAACCCCTTGGAGGCCAGGACCTGAGAGCAGACGGCAAAGCGCTCTGGGCAGTCGGGGTAGTTTGTGTGCTCGTCGGACACTGAGGCCTTAGTGTAATTCTCGCTTAGTTCGATGCGTTTATGGGCTGTTCTTTGATCAAAATTGAGCACAGTGCCATCTAGTGGAGACGGAACAAAAGACAATTTTAACGACAAAACACCTGCTGATTGGACAAGAGGGAAAGACGTTTGTTTCCTTACATTTCATAAGGTCACTTCGTTTCTCAGCAGAGCTTATCTCTGAGGGAATGTCTGTAGTCTCTGTTACGGGAGACAGGAAAACACATTTCAAATGCATCTCAAATTAGAATCTCATCAAAAAGTCAATTTTATGTGAGCAATTCAATTCAAAAAGTATCAGCCTGTTTCTAATGGCTCTATATTTCAAGTGTTTTGTTGAAGGTTCTAGCAAATGGCTAATGAAAATCCAGTTTCTTAGAACAATACACAGTATGAACTTTTTGGATTACACTTCCTTTGGAAGGTGTCAGTGATGGAATTATTGAAACAAATGAACGTTCTTATTTGTCAGCATACACCTGAAATATCCTTTTGTATTAAACAGGTTATTATTTATCAGTTATTCACATTGCAACATCTAAGTCTGGTACCTACCAGTTACTTCTTTGTTTTCAGCAGCAGCAGGACGTCCCCTTGGTTTTTCTTTCACACCAAACTCCAGCAAGTTTTCAATAGATTTTCCAAGTTTCTTATTGCCTGGATTATTTTCGGTGGTCAGAGAAGGGTTTTTTGCGGCTTCTAGAGAGAAATAAGTCATAATTTTCTACATCTCAACTATAACAAAAACCGCTGTAAGATTCACAGTTATGTACTACCTGTGTTGGTATATCACAAAATCTCAAGAAAAAGCCATTAGCTTGTAGTTTTAATGTAAAAATGTGGGACTTTATCGTTTTGCCTGATAAAATGCAGAAAAAAAGGGCAAGGTTTTCAATCTCACCTTAACAAACATACTCCAGTGGTGTACAATTTCAGTTTCCGTTTGATTAAATTACTCTAGGAATGTAGTTTGCGTAATGAAGGGAAAAAGTTGGATTTTTCTTACTTTGAGTTTTCTTCTTTGGGGCCGGTTTGGCCTGAGGACCTGGACTGTGGGATCTGGGGAGTCGAGGGTTCACTGGGGAGATGTTTGGCTCTGAAGAAAGTTACAAACATGACAAATACAATTTCATTCTGCATCTCTTTGGAATGAGATAGATTACAGATACATAAATTGGCAGATTGAAAACAGGTGTTGGAGAAATAAACACACCAGATTCCAGATTAGTTCCAAAACTTGTAGGTTGAAACCCAGAGGCAGAAGCTGCTCTTTCACCTGAAACATGAGTTTAGTTACTTAGCCTTTTATGCTTTCATCTAAATAATTAAATGCATTTCCTCCAAGACACCGCCTCACTAAATCACTGCACCATTTGTATTTGTCTTGATTGGTTTCCTGTTTTTTCCTCTTATATTTAAACCACTCACCTGCTGCAAATGTGCCAGTATTAATGTCTGAAATAAAATTGGATATTTACTTCACTTGCTTTCATCATGTAACTGCACAGGATGAAGCCACCAGCTTAGAACTGTGCTTGCATAATTACCTGCTATGAGTTTCGGGATTCTGGCCTCCACAGGTTGCTTCAAGAGCTCTATCAGGTAGTTCTTAAATGTCAAAGCAAAGGCCTCGACTTGCACAACCTTCTTGGAATCCAGAGTGATTCGAGGGGCGTAAGGGTCAAAGCTTACAGCCTGGGGAAGGTTAAATGAAGTCTGCAGGGACAGAAAAACAGAGAGGTGTTCATTCAGAAATGTGTATTTTGATGACCAGCCATCATGTGCATGCAGGAAATATTTTGCATTTTGTTTCTCTTTTTATCCTATGCATGAAGAAGATGGTTGGGTAGAAGAAAAGGGAATGTTTGTGTACAACATTCACTTGGTAGAAATGTATTCCTTAAATTGGTTTGCATTTTACCATATTACAACCATACACAATGTGTTTTATTGTGATTTTATTTATGAGACCAGCACAAAGTTGAAGTTAATTGTTGTGTGGCTTAACATGGTTACGTCAACCACGCAAGTCAAAAACGTGTTGCAATTAAAGCAATAAATTGTTCGGGAAACAATGGTGACATGTCTTCATCACAATGCAATGAAGACCAAAGTGTGTTTTGCCCATTTTTTCCCCAAAATATCTCAGAGTCCAATTGGTAAAACCTAATACTTAAGTTTTACCGAAGATTCTCAGTTAGGTTTAGGACTTTGTGCCATTTTCACACATCAATCTGCAGCAACCCAAGAACTATGATGGTTCGGTTAGCTGCTTGTACGATTCTGTCAGACAATTTTCATTTTAAAATTATGACTTGAACAGTTTTCTATGAGCTTATAATACTTAAGGGGGAAAAAAAAAGAAAAACTGCTATAAACTTAATGAGCCACATTGTTCATTTTTCATGTTGCTGTTATCCCACCTGCAGGAAGGCCAGGGTTTGGGACTGGCCCAGCAGACAGAGGATTTCCTCTTTAGCTTTGCCAATGTTGTCGACGTTCTCGCTGAACTTTGAGATGAGACCTCTGATTTTGGCATCGCCAGTCTCCACCTCTTTGTCTATTGCCTTCAGGGCTTCGCCTTCCTCTCTGGACATCATGTCGCGCATCTGCTGATACCCAGCCGACAAGGCACTTTTCCTGTGGATGGCCGACTCCTTGTGAAGACCACAGCAGCAGAAATTAACCCCACAGCCGCAGAACAAACTGAAATCGACAGCGTTAGAGCTCTTCGTTTAAGCTTTAATCATTCAAATGATACAAACCTTTAGCTTGTTCTGCATGATCCTCATTTGACAAATTACACTCTCATTCTTCGAGAGCTTTCCATCCAGAAAAACCAACTTCTCTTTCAGGTCCAGCTGTAAGCAGAGAAAACACGACTCATTCATTCACATCATGTATCATTATGTATGGTTGGATAAATATGCATTCAGTTTATGTAGCTGCAACATTTCCCCATTTCATGGTGAAGTGCTTATTTGACTCGTCAATCCTGTTCGGATTCAACAACATTGTGACTGAAATAAAGAGTTGATTGCATTAAATATTAACCTCAAAGTCAATAATTCAACAGCACATGATCAGATCCCAGCTGTGCAACAACAACCGGGTGAGTTTCAGTAGTTAATAATTTGTTACTGCTTATTTACTTTGTTAATCATTAATGACGTAATAAACTCAGGTTGCTCTCATAAGTCTTTGACTTTGGTGTATTGTCTGCTTCACCGCATAGTCTCTGCTCAGGTGATTCACCTTCTGACCTCTAACCTATCTGCCCATAGTCAGTTTAAGCTAACTCATGGGTGAACCATGAAATATTTCAATAAACACTTAACAAGATGATTTCAAATGTTAATAAATTGCTCGTTTAATCTTCTATAGCTACTTCTAAATTGAAATATTTTTTAAAACAAAAATTATTGAACTAATGTTTAGACTTAGGCACTTGATGTAGTGCAAAATATAAAAATACAGTTAATGGCTGATTCCTAATTTGCAGACGCAGTTCTGATTTTCAACCAGAGCTACTTTTTAAGCAAACTAAACACTATTGTTGCAGTGGAATTTTATTATATAAAAGCAGGAGCATATTTTTCCAGGCTGATAAAAATGACTACGGCAGAGAAATGTTTGTAAATAAACTAAGCTTCACAATCATCTCAAGGCTGTTTACATCCGACACTTGCGCATCTTCATCTTTTTTTCCTTCCACTCAGCTTTCTGTTAATGTGTTCATGTACAAATCCAATTCGAATTCAAAAAAACGCTTTACTGATCTTAAGGGGAAATGAAATGTTCACTCTGTGAACCACGAGGTTATTTAACATGAAAACCTTCCATGTGGTTGGTTTAAATCTGCTGCACAGTGGTTATGACTGTAGAGATTATAATGTGTTAAATTCTGAATGCTTTGTCTTAGTCAATGTGATCGTTCGTTTTGGAAAAACAGAATTTTTGGATCACATCACATCCAAACTGTATTCAGAGAATATAAGGAATTATTTTTTCATGATTCCAGGAATATTTCTAAGATGCACTGGCATGAGACTGAACTACCTCCTTCTTGCTCCGCTGCTCATCCGGAGTGGTGAAGGTGCAGCCCTTGTGGACCTGCTGCAGGCAGAGGCTGCAGATCGGCCGCTGGTGTTGGCTGCAGAAGAGCTCCATCAGCTTGTGGTGCTCGGTGCAGATCCGCTCCATCAGGTCCCCGACGGGGGACGTCAGCTGGTGGAGGCGGAAAATGGGGTTCTCCCGGTGGGGCCGCAGGTGCTCCTCGCAGAAGGAGGCCATGCAGGTGAGACAGGTCTGGGCTGCCTCCGCCTCCATGCAGGTGTCACAGCGGACCACGTCCTTCTTCTTCTTCTCGGGTTTGCTCGCAGCGGCCCCTTCGGTCTTGCCGGTCCTGACCCGGAAGGTCTCCACCACGGTGCTGAGGACCGTGTTCTTCTTCAGCTCCGGCCTGGTGGCGAACAGGGTGCGACACTGGGGGCAGCTGTAGGAGTCCTTCCAGGTGGCCAGCAGGCAGTTCTGGCAGAAGTTGTGTCCGCAGGGGATGGTGACCGGGCAGTCGAAGGTGCTCAGACAGATGCTGCAGGTCAGCTCGTCCTCCAGGCTCATGAGGGAAAATTCGGACTCGTCGGCTTCGGCCATCGTGAAACCAGCAGCTGCCGCTGCAGAGACGGAGAAAACGAAACTTAAAGGCGGCGCCGGAAAGAAACGAAAGTAAGAGACGACGGCTGGTAGGGACTCGTTCACCAAGAAAAGTTAGAAAATTTAAATACTACGCACCGAGTTCGTGTCAGTCGGCTGCTTTTAAACAAGCGTTCAAATATATGTCGTTCTTGTTAGGAGCTTTAACTCCTTTAGTTGAACGCTGTCGTGACCGGACGGCGTCAGAAAGCGAGCACCGAGGTTAAACTAACGAAGAATAAACGTCTCTTACTGTACCGTAAGGTTTTTGTTGGTGGGCCCAGTTCAGTTCTGGTCGGGGTTTCACGGCAGTCCGTCTCAGACTAGGGTGGAACCGCGACGCAAAGTTCCTCCCTTTTGTTGAACAGCAGGTGTGGCGTAACGCTCAACTCAAAACTCTGCGGGTTGCAGTCATACACAAGTGATTGGCTCCTCGAAAATATGACCAATTACGTCATCATCTGCCGTGCCAAATTTTGCTGTGTAATGGTAAGTGGGAGGTATGGCACACCACCCAGGGCGGCATCAGGTAGAGCAGGGGTGGGCCGGTCACACCTGAGTCAAATAATGAGGTCATTAGCCAGACTCTGGAGAACTTGACTGCACTTTGGAGGTGATTGTGATTTGATTGGCCCAGGGAGCCATGCCCTCAAGAACCAGGATTGCCCACCCCTGATGTTGAGGGATGGCATTCTCCAAAAGGTTTTCTGTCTGTTGTGCCCTGAACCGCAGTCATTTACATGCCCACTCTTACAGACAAACAGTAGCACTTTTGTGTTGAACAAACAATAGACACTTTATATGGCCAAACACTGCAACATTTTAATGGTGTTTAATCCGACATCTCATTTGTAGTTTTTAATCCACTGCTATGTTAAAGGGCTATTTCAGGGCCTTTTTTTGTGGGTAACTATTTGATAATTTCTCGTTTGAAACTTATTTTGACTTATCAAAACAAAACAGAAGCAGATGACTGAACCAAGGTTTTTGAAATACAGCTATAGATTTCTAACAGAGGATATTCTAGAGAAATAAGACTCAGTGTCAGGGTTATATTTAGTCTACATGCCACAGAAACAAAGGGAAAACAAAGTCATGGATCACAGAGTAACTGTTCCTGTATGTTCTTCTGAACTTAAATAGTAAGCAAAAAATAAAGTTGCATTTATTTTAATGGGGTCAGATTTAAAAATGTCAAACGGGTCTCTTTGTAGTTGTTTTTTTTTATTTGTCACACAAAACATATATAAAACATATTTATATATGTAATGTCAAATATGTAAAACATATTTGACATTTCGGTACAAAAAAGAAGCGGAAATATTGATGAACCTTGTGGGTTTGTTGAGTTTAGCACAGGCATTTACACAAAATGAGAAGTGTATATTTGTTCTGTCTGTCCGGGCTCAGGTGCTGTTGATGTGGGGCTTTTCAGGGTGCTCCGACTTGTTCTGGCTGCTGCTGCTGTAGGCCTCGTTGAGCTGCTGCAGGTCCTTCATCAGGCCTGCAAACTGTTCCTCCTGAGAACAAAGTGAAAGCAGCCATTAATGTACGGTCATCATTTAAAGTTGTACTAAAGAAAGAGTCGTCCGCTCGGGTTCTAACATGGCCGTCTTCTTAAATATAATTGAAACTTTTAAACCAAATTCCTTCTAGGATCCAGGTCCAACGAATACAACAAGAAACTATAAAATGAGCCCATATCTCCACCCCTTCACTACCATGCTTGAGTATTGATTTCAGGTTTTTCTGCTGCTTCATTTTTGTCAAACATATAGTGGATCGCATTGAGGCCAAGTCTCCATTATGATGCCTGCATCTTTCATACACTTCTTTCCTTTGTTCAGATTCAGCTTTGCAGATGTAAGTGGTGTTGCCATTTTCCTCTTACAGAGAAGTGGCTAATTCCTGGCAACCTTTCAAAACAGGTTAAACTCGTTTACTAATTGTACTTGAATGTGACCATGTGAGTCCGAGTCACCTCTATGAAGACTGGCAGCTGTCTTGAATATTTTCAACTTGCCAGGAAAACATTGTTCTGTTTTGTGTTTGAATGAAAAAATGTCTTGGAAAAAGGCAATTTTTCAAGTTGCAGTACAACTACTACGATTTAGTAGTTGTATTGAGAGTAAAAGTTTGTTTCTCAGATCATTGTTTCTGTCTTTCTCCCCTGGCACCTGAATGCATGACACCAGAAAAGATCAAGAAGACATTTTTGTAAAGCTTCTAGACAAATTTTTTTGAAACACACCCATTTGTATTTATATATTTATTTTGTATTGTATTTATTTCTTTGTTTTCAAGCTTTGAGCTAAATTCCTTCTCTTAAATTTTGCTCGCCTGCAAAATATATATATATGTATTTGAGTCGTGTTTGAGAACATCCTACATTTAACAATAAAAAATTGTTTAGCATTTCGATGGACTGACAAATGCTGCATTTGCATGCTTTCTTGCTCAAACTGTGTGCAGCTAACCAAATAAATTTGACTTAAGTCCATTCAAATTCATTCTAATTTTGAAGATAATTTTAATATCTAAATTAAATTCACTGACTGATACTTGTGTCTCTGCTTTCCTTACCAGCACATTCATTCTCTCGGCTGCAGCAAGTGCAACACCGAGCCTTCTCTCATCTTCTTCCCTTTCCTCTTCAATCACTCCCAACCTGGAACAAACACAGAGAGGTCAGCAACATGCAACATGGTGAAGCTAGAAAACATGTGGGGAAGTTGTCTCATCAATTTGATCCCAGATTGCTTTAGCAGGCAACAAAAATATTTTATACAATCTCACCGGAAGGTGGCACTGGCGAGCTGTTCCTCTCGCACCGCCAGCAGGTTCTTCAGCTCGTACACCTCAGCTTGCAGCATTGCATTCTGGTCCTGGCTTTGGCTGATGAAGTCCTCGAGACGTTTGGCCATGTCCAGCTCCCGCTCTGTCACCTGCTCTATCCCCAGACGGAGCTCTGACAGCTCCTGGGCGTGCTGGAGGGGAATCACACTTTTATGTAAATACAGGAAATTGAAACCCGGTGTGAAACCAGTTCTGGGGACGGATGGATGGTTGAAACGTACCCGGTCCAGTAAGCTGAACTGCTCGTTCTCGGCTTTCATCTCACCGGACTCCCTGTTGGGATTGACGATGATCCATGGAACTGGTGCTGGAGCACGCCTGATGCTTTCACTCTGCACAAAGTAGACAGGAGACGGCTGGGTTTGTTTTACTGGCAAAACAAAAAAATATCTCTGGAAAACGTCAAATAGCATCGATTTACTGGCAGGTATCGCACTCTGAGGCCAGGCTTTACTCACGGTATCTGGTCGCGTGATAACTGGCTCGTTGACCTCGGCCTCTTGCTCTTCGTGGTCTGATGTCGGCAGAGCTTCGGAACTGATCTGCCTCTTCAGGGCTTGTTTGCCGTGACCGGGGCGTCTGTGTGGAGCACTCTGGGTTCTGGCGACTGGTTTTCTCTCTCTCGTGTTCTTACGTGGTCTGCTTTCACTGCGAAATAAACAGATCAGTGTGTCATAATGTCACCATTTCAACCATTACTGTACTGTAAAAAAAAAACAGTTTTCAAATTATTCAAATGATTCGTTTAGTCCTTTGATAAGTTTTATACATTTCAAATAATCTTCATTACTTGTGAATTATTTAACAAGTTCACAGATGTCATGTAGTACCTGTCTTGTAGGCCTTTGGAGTCCAAAGGCAGTCTCTGGAGGGAAGACTGCAGAGGACTGTACTTTCTCAACTCTCGTGGAGGAACGTACACCGGTTTGGATGGTTTTGTATCGCTGGAAAATAGAGGCCGGTCAAAATAGCAGCATAAAGCTCACGGAAGAGGCTCAAGGCCCCTAACTTACCTGTTCACAATGATCCGAGGTGCTTCAGGACCCAGTGAATCACTTATCTGGTTCAGGATTGAAGGCAGAGGATGCAGCTTGTCAATTGTGTCCTGAAAATGAAAAGCTTGAAGTTAGTTTTATAAAATAAAATAACATCTGGTCCATAATGGACTCTCGTTTGCTCATGATTATCAACCAAACGGGGATCACTTTTCGTCCCACCTCATTCTTCTTATAGATGATGTCCACAAGGAGGCCGTGCAGCACAGCCAGACGCAGGGGCAAGTCTACGTAGCCGTCAAAGGATGTCATCGGGATTTCAGTGTCTTGATTGGACACGGTTTGCAGGAAACACCTCATCCCATCCCAGTGCTGATCCAGGAATTCGTTCATGAACAGCATGTACTCCTCCTTCTCCCCAAACCTGAGTCCACACAAAACATTTCATTTGCTTAAACATTTCAACTTTCACTCATGTAGAGTTTGTCAGCATGAGTTAGATGACTAGATGCGACTCACAAGGTGGAGTTGGCCAGATTCTGGATAACTTTGGCAGTAAGGGTGAGGGTCCGCAGGGTGTTCGGCTCCGGATATGCCTGTGTCAGTCCGAAAAGAGAAGGACTCAGGATCGCAGGACATAAGAAGCGAAGGAAGAGCGAGGCAGAGATGAGTCGCTGCCCAATTTCTGCTTTCCCCTTGTCTTCACACAGCTCCATCCAGCTGGAGAAGATCTTGTTTAATTCCTCGGGAAAAGATCTGCGAAAGGGAAAGATATGCTCGATCAGCTTCTTGCAGCGATTTTTCTTTTGCTTCTTCTCCACACAGCCGACATGTCTCACCCGTGTATCTCAATTATCTTCTGCACCACATCTTCACAGGTTTCCCTCAAGTGCTGCTGGTTGCTTGACAGTTCAGCAGCGGGGCATTTGAGAGGGTCAACTTCACAGTTCTCCACTGAGGCGTATAGTCGGTTGATGAAGTCCCCTTCATAAGAAAAAGAAATTAAGAAATTAAAGCAGATAGCATTCAAAACATTTCAATTAATGTATGTGAAAAGAAAACAGAGATGCAGCCAATCTGATCCAGTATTTGCATCAGATCCTATATTGACCATTCGCTGATTGGATATTAATGGAGGTACTGTAAGAGAAAACTGCAAATCTCTACAGAGGAATGACGCTTATCTTCACCTGATAACAGAGAGGTTTATTTTGTTGATGATGCTCATTTATTTTGTTTATTTTTTTAATGTTTAACCACAGCTTGCCATGTATCTCAAATCGTTTGGAAATGTCAAAACCCTGCTGAAAGTCCTTGACTTGAGGTATGAATTTTCACAAACTGGATTTTACGCGGTAAGCCTCTGCTGCTCACTGAAGCTACAGTTTAAAAAAACCCTGTTAGAACAGTTTTGAAATGATGCCTTAACACATTCTTCATTTAGTTTGGCTGAAACGGAAGCACTATTTCAGTGAGCTACTTGGTGAGACTTCTCCTAATCTTTTATGTAGACATGCTGCACTCAAGAATATTTAATGTCTTCTCCCAACACAGAAAAGTTTTGATGGTGGAATGTAACAAATGTTTTACAAGTTGGATCCCGACTTGTAAAACTATTCGATATGCATATAGTGCAAGTGCATTTTTTTCCTTTACATTTGGTTGAAATAAAAGCCTTTTAAATTACCCACCTAGTGTGTCAATTAGGTACTTCTGGCCGACCAGCTTCATATATTCATCTATGGCTTTAGTAGCCAGTGTGTTTTCCCTGAAGATCAACGCTTCCTTCTCTCCGAGTCGGTTAACCTCTGCATCGCCCAAATCAATGAGGAATTCCTGGAAAAAGTCCAGCATAAACAATGAATACAGGTTTAAAACAACACAATGCTGAATTTCTGTTCTTGTGTTGACATGTTTTCTCAACCTTGGCCTTGCCAATACTCTGGAGTACGTGGACCAGAGCTCCTGCCAGCTCCTCTTTCTCCTTCACGTTGAGAAGCGGCTCCAGGTTTCCGCACATTTCTACATATCTCACTGTCACATACTCCGCAAACTCTTTGTATTTCTCCATCGGCAGCACTTTCAGGTTCTGGAACCGGGCCTTGATGCGGAGGGAAGCCTGCGAACTCAGCACTTCCTTATTCCCAGCTGTGGCCGACGCCTTGAAAGGTGTGATGGGATACCACTTCTCTTGATAGGTCCGACCTCGAATATCTGCCAAAGGTATGTTCACGCTGCCCAGAGGATGCAAGCTGGACTCATCCCGGGAGTGGCGCTTCTTTTTGGAGTCTTCCTCACGGAAGAGATGCAGGCTGATTTGGGAGATGGAGGGAAGATTGTCGAGCTCAAAAAATTCCCCCCAAAATAGTTGGCAGCCACCAGCTGCGCCCCCACTTCCCCCCAGACCTCCTGAAGACCCGGAAGAACTGTCCCCAGCCATGCTGGAGCGATTAGTTGGCTTGCCGACAGCTCGACTGCTTGTGCGGGCAAACAAGGTTCCATCTAGGTGAACTTCACAGTAGTAGCGCCGTTTGGGGGGAAGGTCCTTCGCTTCATTGACCCACAGACTCAAGGAGTTCTCGGTGCGCTCAATGTTATCCTGTGAAAATGAAGGAAGTGTTTTTAATTGGTATTCAGATGCCGTGTAACGCGTTTTTCACATGCAAAATAACTTGCCTTGTTGGGCTGAGCAGCACGTCTCAAGTCTTCAATCCAGCGATCCCGTTCGGCAGCCGAGGAGCAGCCAAAGCAGTGGGTGTTTTCAGAATTTATCACCTAAAAAAAAACACAAAAGCCATCCAGTTACTGAGAAGACCCAGCATATCCAACATGTAGAGCTCGAACCAAAGTTTACCTCAAAGCAGTACTTCTCCCCTAAGATTGAGCTGTGGACCGGTCTGATGACGGTGCTGGTGTCAGCACTCAGATCCAGACTCCCCACTGGAACCGATACAGACTCACGGGAACCATACTGCCTGTAAGTTACAAACAACAGAGAACAAGTTAAGCAGAGTGCACCTTTACAACCAAGTCCAAGCTCGGTACCAGTCTCAGAGCATGCCACGGTTTCAAAAGGGACAGTTTTAAAATGGCATAAGTTATATACGCCACATCTTTTTAATGGTTTAGAGTGTTTAAAGCTATAAGAAGCATGACTGTAAAGCATCTGACTGCAGGCTAACTACCCAAAAGCAATGATCAACTAATTGCAGCTGTAATATTTTTACTCAGCTTTATACTGTGAGAATCTCATACTGGCTCATGAGCTCATCTACCTCAGTCTGAACCCAATAAAAAAAGGTTTACGTGCATTTAGGGAATCATGCTTGTTGACACGATTTCCCATAAGTCAATTGTCATAATATTATGACTATTTTATGGATGGATGATTTTCTCATTAAATGCATGAGTTTATTATCTTCAGCTGATAAATTTTTTCATGCTGTGTTAGAAGATAATTGCTTCTAAAGGAAAGAAGCAAATTCAGATGTATTTCCTGTGCTAACCTGAGGAGGTCGAAATACTTTAAAGACATACCTGCTTAGTTTGTTTAGACCCGGGTTCAGTTGGGTGGCACTGTTCCTCTTGGCCTTATCCAGGCGCCGTTTGATCAGCCCCTGAGGGTGAAGATGTTACACCGGGGGGATAAATGCAATTATGTATTTTGTCAAGAGGAAACGCAGTGTCGGCACACACATTATCTGATGTGCACTCACCCGTACGCCACCATCCTGGTTCTTCGGCCGAGAGCCGCCGCCTGGGAGGCCCACAGGGTCAGGGCTGCATTCTGAGGGCCAGGATGTGTCAGCATGAGAAAGGCATGAAAAGACCAAAAGGAAGGTTTGTGGAAAATATACGTTACGTAATTTCTTTCCCCACTCACAATGCTGTTAATCCTGGCATTTTTCACTTAGGACATTTTGAGCTTGCAAAGAGAAAAAGCTGATGTTTGGAAGATATAAACCGTTTACTTCAACGCATTTTGTTAAGTCATTTCAATGACATTTGGTTATCATTACCAGCTTTTTAAAAAAACAAACAAAAACCAAAAACTCCTTCTAAAAGGGACATTTTCTACTTTTTAAAGCAGCTAATGACACATCTCCCGAGTAAAACTCAGCACCGTGGTTCCCCATCCTGTGGACATTTTTGTTTACCGAAGGAAACATTAGTCTGAGCTGCAGTGATAGTTGATAAACCCAGAATGACAGGATGTGGTTTCGAGTTGGAGGCTGACAGATACAGAAATCATAGTCAAACTTATTAGCTTCGATTCTGAGTCTTTCATGTAAATTAACTTCTTCAAAATCATCAACATATAATTTCCTCTTCTTTGTATTTCTAGTCATTTCTTCAGAATGAGATAAATTTAAAAGGAAGATGTCAATTTTTTCCAATAAAACAATTAAGTTAGAACACTGTTGGACTTTTTTTGCTTACCTAGAGCTCCTCCACAAACAAACCAGCGTCTAAATCCCATCATTTAGTCCGAGCTGAAAAAGGCGTTTCTCTGTCTTACTTAAGAAGCTGCGTCTTTAACATTTCCTTCCTCTGTTCAGTAAAACATGCTGCTCCTGATGGCGTTCAATAACCGAGCCGGTCCAGGATTGTCATCTCGAGATTGCAGCCTCTAACTTTCTCTGAATAATTAAGCGGAAATCAAACAAGATGCTTCTTGATCCCTCCCTGTGCTTCTCTATCCCCCCACTGTGCTCTTCTTTCGTCTGTTCTTTGGACTGTTTGAGCAACCGGCCGCGATGTTATCTTCCTCAAGAACTCACAGAGGAAGCAATTTGACAATCAGCCTCACAATTCAACTTTCTGCCATTTCCTCTGTGACTTTCTGCAGAATCACACGTCTGATGTCAAGAGACAGATGCTTTTTCCAACTTTGGTACGTTTGTGTCTCACTTCATGTCTCACTGGTGTGTGTATTGACCTGCGTCATTGTCGGCGAGGTTCTGAACGCTGAGGTTGGACAAGCAGCTGCTGACACGGTTTCGGATCCACGTCGTCGGCTGAGGAAGACGCACACATCAAAACTCTCCCAAAATTAGACAAACGTGTTTTTAGAATGGCTGTGAAATGTACAACAGGTGCATCTGAAAAAGTCAGGAAGGTTGGCAAAAAGTTTATTTATTTCAGTGATTCGATTCAAAACTTTGATACAGAGAGTAGCACTCTCTAATTCAGAGAATGATACTTTCTGTATTAGATAGATCCATTAGACAGAGTGATATTTTCAAGTATGTATTATTTATTATTACAGCTAAGAAAGATAAGAACATAACAAAAACCCAAAATGTAGTTTTTGTGAAATTGTAAAATTACATCACACCAATACCAAAGCATAAAATAAATGCCACTACACAGAAAATGATGCAGCTTAATCAATCTATTGCTATTCTTGGGCAGTATCCATTATCTTCTACTACACTTCTTCCTTCCACTCAACTTTCCATTAATTAATTTAGAATATATGTCCCGACGAGTCTCAGTTGTCATATTAAAAGTACCTTTCGAAAATAACAGCCTTAGTATTAAACACCTTTTATTAAGTCCACATTTCTGTTATATATATATATATATTATATATATATATATATATATATATATAGAGAGAGAGAGAGAGAGAGAGAGAGCTAATGTAATATTAAAATTTTAAGTGTCACATTTTAAATGTCACATTCTTATTAAGATTGCTGGAGACAGGCTCATCTCTGCATGCTTAGGGAAATTATCATAATTAAAAGAAATTGAGTCTTTTAAACATCCAATTGTGTATAATGAATCTATACATGTTTCACATGGTGATAAAATCCCTGAAATGAATGGGCTTTTCAGAAATAGGCTATTCCAATGTATTGAATTGGTCTGTGCAGGATTTGCAGAGAACGTGAATTTAGGTTTCACTACCTGTAAGCCACAACCATTGCAATTTATGAAATTGTTTAGAAGACATCACTCTGTGTGTAATGAATCTTTGAGCTGAAATAAATTCACTTTCTGTTTTTGTCCATTTTCAGATAAACCTACATCCAGGCAGTGTAACTGTGAGACTCGTTACCTCATCCTCTTGAGTGATGAGGATTTGTCCGTCTCCCAGGATGCAGTTGGTGATGTCCCACAAGGGGACCTCCTGCGGTGGGACCCAGTTTTGCCTTGTCAATTCACCGGACGCAGCATGTGCCGGTTCAACCTCCTTCAAGTCTGCAAGAGGACATTGACTTCACTCACACACACAGTCGACAGGGAAAGAGGTGTCTGCGATCGACACCATCATTTCGGTCACGCGGTGACCCCCGTTTGTTTTTCAGTTCTGATGATGACGGCCTGATGAGACGACACTTATCTCACTCACCGTGAGGACACTCCCATTTACTGATGCTATCTGTTTCTTCATGACACACCAAGAGAAACGGATATCCTGTTGTTTCTCAGTAGCTTTGCTCAACTTCCTTCTTAATTTGCATTGTCTCTGTGTTTACTTTTAAAAACCATGTTTTACGGATGCAGGCTTTTTAATAAAAAATGCAGAAAATGAAGATGCTGATAAAAGCACTGAATAAATGAAGGGCAGTTGAGAAACAATGGTTTTGTAGAATCACTATAATGATTAAATAACACTCCACTATACTGCATTCACCCAAACTACTCGTTGAAAGTATCCTCTTGAAAATGACTGGACTGCTTGATGGTACCTTTTTCTCTGCGAAATGTGTTGTCAGCTGGTGTTTTTTAAGTGTAACCACCTTCATAATCTGTTCTTGGTTTTGTTTGATTTGGAATAGATGAACCACACTGTTTTTGTTTTAAAATTCAAACACCTTCTGCAGGATCAGTTCCAGTTTTTATTGCCGTTATTTGAAGCCAAAGAGATTTTCTGACCAAACGCAGTGCAGCGTAAAGTGTGCCATCTTGTGTTGTAAGTTCATTCTGCCGCATCGCTCTGCAGGTCTCTACCCTGCTGTGTGCAGTCGGATTTTTGTGCATTTTGGATGCACAAAAATCCAAAATCTGGTTGTTCCTTACTAATCACTTTCATCTGACCACACGCAAGCTCTTGTTTGAAATGTTTATCAGACGTCATGTGACTGTTGTCATGTCACTTTTTCCTGCTTCTCTCTTCTCATCGCTGAACATGATGCAAGGACATCGAGTTAAAAGCTTGGCTTGTCAATCGAGAAGCAGCTTTTGGATTGCCGCTCTCCCAGCAGCCACATGTGCAATTTGGAGGTGTGTGTAGTTCTCTCTGGCATGTGGCCATTGTCATGGGGAGCTCAACACTTACAGATGCTCATGTCAAATGGGCTACATCATAGTGTAATGTTTTATTTTATCTTTTGTTCATTGTGTTTTTGTTGTGTTTTATATGATCCTTTTGTTCCAGCTAGAATAGTTAGACAATAGTTAAAGTTAATTAGTCTATTTAGTTTAGCAGCTCAATGTGTGTTTTAATAGGCTGTGGCCTTGAACTCAGCATTACATTTCCTTCAAAAGCCGCTGCTCCTCTCTACCAAACCTGGAACCTATAATGCTGCAAGCAGTATAATTAACGCCCACGATCCAAACACAGATGTCTGTTGCCTCTCTAGAGCCTTGCAGAGACCAGCCCTATTCTGGCTAATTTGTATTATTAAAGTGCCGAGTCAGTCCAGTGTAAAGAGGAGCTAATAGCAGTCGGAAATAAGAAATACATCAAGCACAGACTTTTTCAATTTGAAACATTAATTTATTTTGAAATAAGAGCGTATGGCATTCACATTAAACTGTGAATGTTTGATGTTTAAAATTAAACATCTGCTGCTTATTACAGGATGTAACTGGTGGTTTATGCTTCATTTATTATTAGAACATCACCATTATGTTTTATCCTTGCACTGATATTTTTATCCCTTTTTTTAAAACTTTAATCTCTGACGTTATTTGAATGATTTTATTACTTTTATTGATTGCATCTTTAATTGAGGTGACTTTGTTTCTTCATTGCATTATTACTGGATTCTCTTTGTGCACAGGCTCAGGATGCATTTAGGCAGACTTGGACCTATATGTTATTTTTAGGCTGCGTTAATTAATACTCCACCAAGATGAACCATTTTAGTCCGGACTCTGAGGTTACAATGATGTCGTAGTTGAGGGCGTGGCCTGAGATGCAGAGCATGATGGGGGGTTTGGGTCCACAGTGATCAGCTCACCCAGGATGCCCTTCATGCTGCAAATTCAAATAGTAGACACGTTTTGGAATCAACTCATGTTGACTCAAAATTGACCCAAATTTAGAATTTATTTAGTAATTATTTCTGCTGCATGTTTCTGCTCAATGCATCGCTGATTAATGTGATTAACTTCTGGAATATTTTCAATCTTCCACTTTTTTTTTTTTTTTTGCATACAAAACAATCCAATAGCCATTATTAAAAGAAGCCACTCTATTTTTTTTATGTAGATTCCTTTCATTTCAAAATAAGTTGATAATATGTCCAATAAGTCAGCCAGTTTACAGTCATAGTATCAGCCAACGTTTGTTTTGAAGTTCCTTCTCACCATGTCAGCTCAGTGGTTAAATACGAGCGTGATACGGCATTGTGAAAAGAGGTCTCTCACACACCACACCTTTATGCCACCAGAACATCTGAAATGCAACAGGAAATCATGGCCTCGCCACATGTGGTGAACGTTTTACTGCGTTAGATCCGGATGCACTTTTACGTGGGAAAATCCACTTTTGCAGAGATGAAGTTCTATGCAACCTAATTCATTTAAAGTTGCTTCATCATCTTAAACGTGAAACTCGGCACAGAGTGGGTTTTTTTCCCCTTCTTTTCTTTAAATACATTCGTCACGGACTCAGGTTGTGTGTGGTTACCTGGCAGCAAGGCGTGCTCGCTGTTGCGGCTCTGCAGCCTCGGCCTCTTGAGCTTCTGGGTCACGTTCCACAGGTATTTTTTGAAGATGGCTCCCCCGCTTCCTTTCGGCGTCGGGTCAGTGGAGGAGGCCCCTGCAGCCTCTGGGGCAGCTGACGATGAGGATGAAGCTGGCTGTCCTGAGCTGGAGGAAGGCGTCAAAGCTGCAAAAAGAGACCCAGGAGGCTCCGACAGAGCCCTCCTGAATGGGTTCTTCCTGGTGACCCCGGCGCCTTTCTCAGCCTTGGCTGCCTCCCCACTTTTCCCACCTGTTGAGTTTTTGTCCCCGGGATCCTCACTCAGGGCTTTGCGCCAGTTCTGCATCTTGCTCCACTTGTTGCTGGAGGCCTTCTGGATCTTGTCGATGGTGGAGGTGGCTGCAGCCCCGTCCCCTTCTTCCCTCTGCTCATTGAGCGTTCCCTTGGAGCCAGTGTGCCACTTGTACGTGTTGAGGGGGTCGGCGGTCTCAGACGGTTGAGGATGCTCGATGGGAGACTCCTTTTCCTTCTCTGGTGACCCCTGCTCCTTTGACAGAGGCTGAGCTGCATGCTCTGAATCTTTCTCCTCGGTGCCCATCTCAGATTTGACTTGCCTGCTGCAGAACTTCTCTCCAATTTAAAGCTGCATTAACTGCCTTCATAGGAGGTTTCTCCAACGTCCTTTCTGAGTTACTGCTATCTTCAAGATTTTTTCTTTGTATCATTTATTTTTGCTCTCACAGGCAGAGTAGTTCTCCCTGGTTCAGTCTCGGTGCTTGCCTCGTTTCCTGTCTCATACAAAAAAAAAACGTTATCCGGCAACAACAGTCGCAGAGCTGCTCCGCCTGCGGTTGCTCTGCTGCAGGACCCAAACTCCTCTGCTGCATGCGCCGTTCGTTTCCTCACTGAGTGCCACTGACAACTTCACCTTTTCACACAAAACCCTGCTATTTTTGTCTGCTGTTTATGTTCTGAATAAAATCAAACTTCCCTCCCTCACTTCCTGTTCTGCTTTAATGTAATTTTTAAAAGAAAAAACAGTCATCACCTTTTACTGCGACAAACTGAAATTACAGTTTTCTATCCGTTTCAAAGTAAAAAACAAAAGCAACTGTTGCTATTCTGAGTGTGAGGTCCACCGTCGGGCTGTGAAAGGTAGTTTGTCAGCTTTTGAATTGTCTGTTGTGCAACAGCGGTGTGAGAAAACTGCATGTTTTCACTCAACAAGTTCTTGAGCTTGATGACATTAATATCAACACGTTTCACACTTGAAGCAAAAATACTTAAGAAAATGAGTTTACACATAATCTGATGTGCACTGGATCTATCGGTATCTAATGCACGTAATCGTCAGAGGTCACCTGTGGGCGTATTTTGGACTGTTGACTGTTAAAATCAATTTCCTGTGAAAGCAAGCCTGTGCTTCCTGTCAGATCAGTCTGTCAGAGTCACAAAACCACTTCCTGTTCTCGTTCTTCTCTCAGCTCTTTCACACCTGCAGGGTCTCCTCCCAAAGCTTGATGGCACATTGATCCACTATTTAATTCAATTCAGTTGATCTGTAAAGCACTGAAGTTCACAGCAAATATCATCTTGAGGAACTTTACAAAAATCATTTAAATCCAGTCGTTCATACAGTCCAAAACGGCATCATTTCATAACTCAAAGTTTCAACAGTTTCTGTCTATGGAAGCCCGGCAGGTTGCATCAACCTGCGGCATCCACACCTCCTGGACAAGAACGTAGCGATAACAGACAGCCGCTTGCATTGTGTCGACTTTAAGATAATGTCTCATACCGGTGATGCATGCAGCGACAGTGGACAGGAAAAACTCCTCTTTAACAGGAGGAAACCACCAGCAGAAGCTGACTCGGCTCAGGCCAAATGCAACAACCGACTAGTGGGTTTGAGAAGACAGCAGGTACACAAACAGAATCAGAACTAATGTAGGAGGATGAAGTTACAGAGAAGTAAAACGTTAATAGCAGGAGAGAGATAGAGAGAGAGGATGAAAAAGAGAGAGAGGAAGAAAGAATGTTCGGTTGTTGGCAGTATTATCTAAGCTGATTTCCTAATTTAAATCCAACTCTGTGGGTTTAAATGTTGAAATGTAAGCATAATGTGAAAATCAGTGATAGTGGAAATAAAATAAGCATGAATTCAAGTGAAAACATTAATTGTTAGAAATTATGTTGTCCCTTTAGAAAATGGATTAAGACATGAATTTGGAAGCTGGATATTTAAAAAGCTCACCATCATAATGCCAACACTACGATTTTACAGCACTATCATTATTAATTTGTCAAAATGAACATCTGAGCAGTTTACAGCAATTTAATTCAGAAAGTTAAAACTGTAAGTGACTGAGACATGCAGCCAATGTGGAAACTGCACCGAATAACTCAGTCATTAACTCCCCTCTGGTGGTGACAACAGGGCAGCACAACAATTTTTCTGTTTTGTTCCGAATACTTGGATGCATAATTGTGTGTTTTGGTTATAATGATAACAAACGTTTGAAGTTGGATTTAAGATAGTTATGTTTTTGTCTGTAAAATCCAGGAAGGAAGTTAATGAGTTCTTTGTCCCGGTTGAGTTTAAAAATGCTGATATTTTTGTGGAGCATGTGATCTGATTTTGTTTTGCTATACATTTAGCTGGGCACCAAGTGATTTTATGCAGAAACAGTAAAAAACAAAAAAAAAAACAACAACAAAAAAAACCCACCTATGGCTTCAAGTCTGACATTAACAGTGTTTAGAATCAGTGTATTTTATTCGATTAACACCTGATAAAGACAGCAGGTCTTCTTTTCACTCTGGTTGAAAGTGAGAAGGTAAAAAATACAGCTGAGCTGATTTAGAAAGCCCACTCACCCTGACAAGGTGCAGCCTATGAGTGGGATTAGTTTTCTTTCTTTTTTAACAAGCAGAATAAATAATGACCCCCCCTTCAAATCAGTCAAATCAAATGGAAAAATCTTGTTTGCTTCTGGCATTTCTCTTCCCTCTTTGTGATACAGACATGAGGAAGTCATTGCCTAATTGTTTTTTTCGAGGAAGGAACCCTCCGGTTTTGCAAAGGATAAATAGTTTTCACTTCCTGCCAGACAGTTTTCCTTCATTTGAAACCTTTTTTTCAGTTCTTTGCCCAACTGGAGCCAAATATCTTTTCTGCCTTGGATTGTACAGGAAAGCTTTACGTCTGCTAACCGGAGGAACTCAATTTTTTGAGGACTATTTATTAGTAAAGTTTGTGGACACCTTAAACAACACGAGAGAAGAGGTCAAATGAGAGCTTCCAGCTAAATGAAACATTATGAAGACCAGCAAGTTCTTTACATTTTTTCATAATTCAAGTTTATTGACTTCAAAACTTAAAGGCGACATGTCCTCATTCATCCAAAGCAGTTTTTTTTTTTTTTTTTAAATACAGTTTCCTACGTGGAGGTACAGATATGCAGTGGTGTCGGCAAAGGAAGCAGGGAGACGGAATCGTGTCAAACAATCGAGACAGTTATATAGCCCTCGTTTATGACTGAGATCTGGATGGAAAGCATCAGCAAAGCACGGAGACCTGGCATCCGGCATGAACACCCTTCTTCATGCCTGTGACTTAAGCCGAGGTCCAATGATGAACCGACAAAAAGCACACAGAAGGAAAATAGAAAGGAAATTTATAAGATTAGAACATCAGCTGTCAAAGTGCAGCTAGACAAGAGCAGGGAAATATTTGCTTACCGGGTCAGAAAGAGTTAAACATGTCATTAGATATATTTCCTCCACTTTACGGCAAACATTCATTACTTTACACCATCACACACACTTCCTCATTCACAAAAGACCCTTTTCCTCATCTTATTGCATTTAACGTCATTTAAACAACCGTTGACCTTTATTATTAGTTACAAATGAGCAGTTATGGATATCAAAA